AATACTTTTAAGGGACAAATCGCCTGACAATTTGGCATCATCCTCATTGTTCTTAATTGCATGTAGGGACCTTGATTCCTCTTCTTGATCCCAAGCAGTAAAGAAACCACATTGTTTGCAAGGTATTCTACTAAGGGCGTCAGCATTTTGATGTTGCGCTCCTGGGCGGTGTTCAATCAACATATCATATGTACTTAATACTTCTAGCCATCTTGCTAGTTGGCCCTCTTGGTTCTTGAATCTCAATAACCACTTTAGCGAACTATGGTCCGTTCTAATACGAAATTTTCGTCCCTGAAGGAAATGTCTGAAAACTTTAACAAAATGAACAACTGCAAGTAGCTCCTTCCTAGTGACGCAGTAGCTTCGTTCACTCTTGGACAAGGTACGACTGGCATAGGCAATAACTTTCTCACTACCCTCTTGTTCCTGAGAAAGTATAGCCCCAATAGCATCTCTGCTAGCATCTGTGTCCAGTATAAACTCTTTAGTGAAGTCGGGGTGTCCTAATACTGGGGTAGTTATAAGCTTTTGTTTCAACAGATCAAAAGCAATCTGGCAATCATCATTCCAGAAAAATGGTCTCCCTTTTTCAGTCAACTTATGTAGACACTTGGCAATCGTTGCAAAGTCCTTTATAAACTTCCTATAGTATCCACACAGTCCAAGGAAAGACCTGACCTCGGTTGCATTTGTTGGTACTGGCCAGTGTTTCACACTTTCTATCTTTTCAGGATCTGTCATTATACCTTCTTCAGAAATAATGTGGCCTAAGAATTTCACAGATCTCTGGAACAAATGGCATTTCTTGGCCTTTAATCGCAACCCAGCTGATTGAAGTCTGTCAAACACTCGCTCTAAATTAGCCATCATTTCATTGAATGTTTTACCCATGATGATTATATCATCAAGGTAAACCAGGCAAACCTCCCATTGTAATCCTGCCAATACCATTTCCATTAATCTTTCGAACGTGGCTGGTGCACAACAAAGCCCGAAAGGCATCACTCGAAACTGAAACAAACCTCTTCGTGTGGCGAAAGCCGTTTTATGTTTGTCCTTGGGATCAAGTTCCACCTGCCAATATCCGGAAAACATATCTAAGGTGGAGAACCAGCTGTATCCAGACAATTGTTCTAAGGATTCATCAAACCTGGGCAAAGGATATGCGTCCTTAACTGTGCAAGCATTAAGACGCCTGTAATCTACACAAAATCGATAGGAATTATCCTTCTTTTTCACCAGTACAATAGGTGATGCCCAGGGACTTGTCGAAGGTTCTATAATATTGCAGTCTAGCATCTCATCAATATTTCTTTCTATTTCTTTTGCCAAGTGTGCAGGAGAACGGCGAACAGGTTGTTTTATAGGTCTCCCGTCTCCAGTGTCAATCTTGTGTTTGACTATATTAGTTTTTCCAAGATCATTATTACTCTTGGCAAACAATGATTTGTACTTCCAAAGAAAAGATTTTACTTCCTTAGCTTGTTTCTTTGTTAGATGCATCACCGAGTCATTATGCAAGTTTTCTATGTCAGGCCGCTCTGCTGGTTCACTGGCATAATTTGAAGTAACTTGTTCCGTTTCCTGAAATTGCCCAATCTCTGTGTTCTTGTACACCACCTTTGGTTCAGACTCCACGTTCAACAACCTCACTGGCACAATATTATTCTTCATTGGTTGAACACAAGTTCTAGCAGTCAATGGCCTATTAGTATCTTCTTTTTCTTTAGGTTCTACAATGCCCTGTGTTTGTAGTTGCTCCTCGTCAAGAGTACAAATTTTCCCTGGTATAATAAGTTCACTCCGGGGTGGTATACTGACCGTTTCTTCTGCTACAACTCTAAAGCATCCAAATTTACCTTCATACATCATAGGAATACTTTCGTCCTCAAATAACAAAACATGTCGTTTCGCATCTATGACCATATCAAAACGTTTGATCATGTCTAATCCAAGAATACCCTCTACCTGAAGATTAGCTACCAAAGCTAATGTCTTTATGGGATGTCTTCCAATTGCCATCTCAATATTGACTTTACCTTCCAACTTTAATTCATCACCATCTGCAGTGTAAACTTTCATTCCAGGTTCTTGGATTTCAAATGCCCAATGGTCTTTCACTTTGTCGAATAAAGTTGTTGACAGCATCGTAACCGTAGCCCCTGTGTCTACTAACATTTTCACCCTAACACCATTTATCATTACATAAATGAACATTCCAGCTTCGTTTGAGCAAGAGCCAAGCTTGCCAGTTAACTGTCCATTTGAACCTTTATCACTATATTTCCTTCCGGTATCGCTTCCCCCTGAAGTCTTCTTGCTACAGGAAGTGTCTCTCTTATTTTTCTCTGGACAATTTCTCTTATAATGTCCCTTTTTATGACAACCATAACATTCTATCATATCCATGCTTTTTCTGGATAGAGATGACTCTTTGTAAGACTTTTTGTCCAACTGGCCTCTGCCTTGTCTGAGCTCTTTAATTTCCTTGTTTATGACTGCCATATTCTTTTCCATTGATGACATCCAATTTTTCATTTCCATTTTGAAAGTCCCGTCATTAGTAGTTACCTCTTCCCTCAACTGGTGTTGATAACCTTTGTACCCCCTCTTGTCTTCTGCCCTTAGATATGCCTCTAGTTCTACTGCATGTTTAATGGCATCATTTAAATCCTTAGGACGCGCCTGCTTAATCCTTATTCGCATGTCCGAGTCAGGCAAGCCATCTAAAAATTGTTCCATGGCCAAGGTTTCCCTTACCTCAGATGGGGCTTTTGGATAGGCCAAATTTGCCAATCTTCTGACAGCCTGTCCTAACTCAGGTATGGTCTCTGTTGCTCTCTTACGCCTCTCCCTTAGCTGAACTCTGTATAACTCGGTTTGATTGGGTGGCGCAAAGCGTTCTTCAAGGGCCTGTACAAGGTAATGATAATCAGTGTTGTCTCCTGGCAAGTTTCCAAGGACTGCTTGAGCCTGACCCCGAAGAGATGCTGCGAGAAATAAGCCTTTCTCCTCTTCTGTCCACTCATTAAGTTTGCTGACTGTGTTAAAATGAGTCTTATAATCCAACCACGATCCACTGCCATCGTAGGTTGCGGCTTTTACTTCCCTTCTACTCATTTTCTTAGTTGCATTACCTGATACAACTGGTCTTCGGTGACGCCTGTCTGTGATATTACCAATATCTACTCTATCTGCTATAGCATTTCTGTTGGTTTCATCATTTCTAGATTCCATTTCCTCATGAAACCTTACCCTTGGATGACAGCTAGTACTCGGTCTATTTGACTCAACATCCGGAGAATGATCGGCCAAAGAACTCCTGGGAATAACTGACGATGGACCACTGGAAATACCAGAGTCATATCTACCCCGGGCCTCATATCCTCGAGGCCTTGGTGTTGAGTGTATAAGACTCTCATGCTGCCGAATACTTGACTCTAGTTCTCTTATTTCTTCCTTGAGAAATGTCAGTTCCCGATCTAGCTGATCAGTTGACATTATATACAACAAGATAATATTACTCAAATTTTATTATTGTATCAATGATGAACACATACAAAAAAAAAAAAAAAGAAAATTTCCTTACACTGCAAAAATCCCACCGCTGCCACCAAAAATTCTGTAACGTGTGTCCAGCCGAGCGGTCTAAATATTCAAGTGGACACGTACCCGGTTACACCCGGGATTTCTGCAGTGCAATAACCTAAATAAATGATCTGTATCTGGTCCACTAGGACACAAACTTAATCAATATATTTACGATGATTATTTAAACAATTTACTCAATCAATATATTTACTATGATTCGCATAACTAATCTTAAAGAAATCAAGGGACAATTTGACTCTGGACCACCTGTCCTACACTAAACCAATGTCCCCGGACAACTGGCCCAACCAAGGGCCCTTGTTACGAACAAGAGGTCTCTAGTCAACTGGCGTCTCCAGCTCACTTTGGCACTAGAGTACAGACTTATTCAGCCACGGTGATCGACCAGTTGATGCAACCTATACTATAAGGCTTATTCAGCCCTGTAGTAACCTTTATTGCGATTCTGCTAATTCAACGTCCTCACTTATTTCTTTACCCTTACCTGGTAACTACTCTGCAGCTACAGCGAACAAACTCGCAAACAGACTCCAAGGAGACTTCAAATAGACTGACTGCAGCTGCCAACACCCGCTGTATATATAGCATTGGACTAGTCTATTTCATGGTAGGGGAGACAGGTTATTCCATGTCCAAAAAAACCTTAACTACCCTATTAACATAGATTGGTACAACCCTGATTCATCACACTAAATAGGCATTCCAATTTTTCTGGGAATGTAATGGAAAAAGATTCGAGAGTAGCAGGGCGACTCTTAATCATACCCGGTACTGATGCGGATACATTTCCATGCTGTGTGGACTCATGGTTGTTGAAATGATAAACACTGGGGTTAAGGTGTAGCTAAAACTGAGGATCAAATTTTTACATAATACGCAAATGTAGGGGAAAAATCTTTATATAAAAATTCTCCGGATCAACAAGGAATGATATTCAGAATCCACATGTAGTGTTTGGTTAAGTCATGACCCCTAGAGGGTATAGTGGGCCACAATAAAAGGTCATAAGAATCATTTTTTTTTTTTAAAAAATATAGAGGGAATCAACAATTTTTTTTAGGGCAGCAGGCAAGGTGGCTCAGGTGAAAGTTGCGGCATGGGGACTTTTTCTTGTCATTAATAATACATTGTATATAGTTGCAGTATTATTTAAGGGTGTTAATAATATTAAAGGTTCGACATATGTTGAACAAAAAACTTGTCGTACTTAATACTTTTAAAAATAAAATATTGTATACATATATCATTCTCTATGATTAAAAGAGAGCTGGTTAGCAAAATTGTCGTCTAAATGAAGGCAATTTCTCTATTTCATTTTCTTTAGCTCTGTTTATCCATAAACAAAACGTTCTTTTTACCACTCTATGTAATTATTTTTAATACAGGGACATGTTTACCTGGCTACGAGCTCGTAGCCCCCCGTATTTGTTTGAAATATAACTCCACTTCTGTCAACTATACAGTGGCTGACGCTCTGTGTAAGGCCGACGGAGGGTTCCTAATTAGAATAGATTCTGCTGAAAAGAACTCCTTGTTTATAAATTTTATCGGTAAGTTAATTTAATTATTCTTTTTTAAAAGTATTCATCAGCATGCAGAATACGCCTGTTCAGAGAGAGAGAGAGAGAGTAACTGGTATATTGATAAATTTTAGACACGATCAAAATTTTCTTTTCTAGAAAACCATGTTGATGACACTTCGGGAACACAAGTTTGGGTCCAGGCCACAAAAAACGGCTCATCCTGGTATTTTGATGACAACACGCGAATAGATTTCGAGAACTTCGGTGATGGTGCCAATAGCAACGGACCAAATGAAAAATGGGCGAGAGCTAGAGGAGCTTTAGCGTTTCAATGGCAAGACGGTCAGGATTCTGATGAATTCAGTGTTGTGTGTGAATCAAAGACAATGCTGTATTGGACGTAATAATCAAAATCAAAACAATGAAAACAATGGATCCAATTGAAAAAAGATATTCCTTTGTCATGGAAATTTCTACAAATAAAAGATTTCAATTTAAAAAAAAAAGCATGTTTCATTTGTTTCACACTAAATGCTTGTGAAAAATCAGTGTATGTGCATGCTAGTTCGTCTTTCAATAAAAAAAAAAAATCAAAACTAGTAAACTAATTGTTCAGAGAACAATTAGAAGCCTTTCCTACGGAAGCGTAATAGGGCCGCAGCAGTATCTTTTATTAATTTGTTTTAACAAATTACTAATTTGTGATAACAAATTATCAATTTGTTATAATAAATTATCAATTTGTTAAATCAGATTACTAATTTGTTATAACAAATTACTAATTTGTTATAACAAATTATCAATTTGTTGTAACAAATTATTAATCTGTTATAACAAATTACTAATTTGTTATAACAAATTATCAATCTGTTATAACAAATTAATAATTTGTTATAACAAATTGATTATTTTGTTATAACAAATTGATAATTTGTTATAACAAAATACTAATTTGTTATAGTAATTAGTAATTTGTTATAACGAATTAGTTATTTGTTATAACAAATTAGTAATTTGTTATAACAAATTAGTAATTTGATTTAAAAATTATTATTTTTTACAAAATATGAAGGTGAATACAGATCTGTGGAAGCCAGATCAGACCAGATCAGAAATCTTATTTTAAATCGGTTTTATGAACACGTTAAGCATAAGCTTTGGAGAGCTTTTGATCAATATGTTAATGTGGATTTAGATGAATTAGCAACTTAGATTAAAGCACTTTAATTTTTGTTTAATTGAAGGGTTTTTTTTAAATTTTTGTTTTGTTTTGTTGTTGTTTGTTTGTTTGTTGTTTTTTTTTTTTTTTTGAGTCAGTTCCTTGGAATAGATTTCTCTGTTAGACAATTAAAAGAATAGCTGCATCCCAGGGATTATGTAGAAGAAATACAGAATGTTGGATCCTTCGAGAAAAATTCGAAGTTCCGGACAATTAAATATGATTTCAACGTCGTCCATTCAAATCAACACTTTTTTCAATGTCAACACAGGGGTCAAAAGGGGAGAAGACCTATTTTTTCCTTCTTTACACATGTGTAATATTTTGTGTGTATTGTTATAACAAATTATATTGCTTAACGATTTCTTGTAAAATATATGAGTAGTCCTATATGAGACAACCAGGATACAAATTACAAATGAATTTGAAGAAACAACTTTCTAAGTTTTCAGCCAATAATAAGTTATGAAGGCTTTAGTGGGACTTCGAGGGCTTTTTCCAAAAGGCACGTATTTTGATTATAAAAATTACATACATACATGAAAAAATTTCACAAGGTATCTAAATTCAAATTTTACGAAGTACTACCCACTCAAGAATATTGTTTATTTTCGTTTTCAGAAAAGGTTATTACAGAGTGTTTATCAATTTTTCTATGATAATTTATCTACAAATTCATTTTTTAACAATGTTGCCTTTATTGCCCCCAGCATAAATTGGGGCCAAGGAGGTTCACCAGAGGAGCAGATTCAGGTTTATGCATTAGGAACGGCGGTTTAGTTTAAAATATATTTTATTCATGATACATAAACTGGATTGAACAGTAGGCATAAATCAATTGGTACATGTATAGAATGAATCGAGAGAGAGAGGGGGGGGGTAAAATGAAATAAAATAAAAGACATATTGAAAAAAAAAACATATTATAATGAACATGTTGATTCAGGGTGGGAAAAATTCCCTCTCCAAATAACATGTCTTTGAAAAGATATTTTTTCCTAGCATACGAACGGGGATGCAATGACCTGGTAAATGGGAGTCAAGGACGGAGCCCTGGTGGGGGAGGAGGACAAAATTCAAATAGAGCTCCTGAGAATAAGTAAATAGGAACCAAAGAATTTGATGCATTGTATCTTTATAACAATAATGTTTGACAGTGAAAACTCTAAATGCTAAAAGATGTAAATCCAGATTAACATATTGGTCAAAATCTGTAGCTGCAGAGCTTGTACATTTATTATTTTCACAAATCCAACTTATAAAAAGATTTCTGATCTCATCTGGCTTCCATAGATCTGTATACACTTTCACTTTATCAAAATTATTAATTTGTTATAACAAATTACCAATTTGTTATAACAAATTAATAATTTGTTATAACAAATTATTAATTTGTTATAACAAATTATTAATTTGTTATATCAAATTGATAATTTGTTATATCAAATTAGTAATCTGTTATAAGAAATTAGAAATCTGTTATAACAAATTTATTAATTTGTTTTAACAAATTAGTAATTTGTTTTAACAAATTGATAATTTGTTATAACAAATTAGTAATTTGTTATAACAAATTAGTTATCTGTTATAACAAATTAATAATTTGTTATAACAAATTGATAATTTGTTATAACAAATTAGTAATTTGTTTTAACAAATTATCAATTTGTTAAAACAAATTACTAATTACAGCCCTTGTATAACCTAAAACTAACCTTTTATAAAAATTCACACTCTCTGATATTAAAAGAGAACAAGGTTGGTAACCTCAACAGACAACTTTCAACACCTCGATATGAAATACAAAAAAAAAAAAAAAATGAAGATGAAAGCTATTTACTGACTTGAAGTAAAGGTTTTCATATCTTCAGAGATTATAAATTAATTGATAAATTATACAGTATAAATCTACATTAAAGATTATATAGAGCAATTACCAAAATTCCTGAAAATTTTGTTTTCCTTACATGACAAACTCTCAAAATTAAGATCTTATGAAAAATTTGTGATGTACAGTGATTATCTTTAAAATTTTAGGGGTAGTTGTGTGTGTATTTCTTTCTTATCTGTCTGTCATGACTGAAAAGTGAGTAGAATCATCCAAATAAGGGTAATTCAGTGGTTACTTCATTATCGTACATAACAAATATAAATAATATACTTAATGTATGTTTTAAATATTTATTCCTTTTTATGGCTTGGTACATGTAACTTTCCATGCGCATTTTTCTAAAGCTACACAACAAAAATGTATTAAATTAAAAGGTACATGCCAGTGCCACCTAAATCTTATGTATACTCCATAGCATGTAAAGAAATATACTCAATTATGTACTTAAGCAATTTATTTATTGAAATGAGACATTGAGATACATTTATAAGTATTTATTAAATATATATGGAATGTACTGATATAAAAAAAGAGTGCAAGAAAAACAAAAAAATCTTCCTTGGAAATGCTTCAAAATACAGTTATATCCCCATATATTCTTTTGAAACACCATAAAAGTGGTGTTTTACAATGCAACCACCTATTTACATTAATAATAAAGTCTCAACAACTATCACACTTGACCTACTTTGTAGGTCAATAAAAGTAGGTCAATATTAGAAGACCTGTCCAAGTACTTGAAGTAGCAACTATTAATTAATTGAGATGCCCCGTCTCAGAACACAGTCTTTTTCTAGGTGGTGAACAATACAAAATCAGGAACATTGCACACAGAACATTAAAAACTCAACTTGATGAATCTCATTCTACCTGATTTCAATATCACAGATACATTCCATTCAAGCCAAGTTACCATGATTGCATGATCTCTTGTATATCAGAGGATTTGAAATGCACAAATACATTACATTAGTCTTGGGAAGGTAGGGGGGTTTAGAGTGGGACATTAATCAAATAAACATTAATACATGTATAATGTCACAAGCTGAGAAAAATGAAGTCTATAAAACAGAGACTTGATCCCGGCACACTTCCATACTGTACCATATTAACTCCAGATAACTGAGGTTATACTCCAAAAATATTGACTGCATGTTTAGTAGAAAGAAACATTAATCCCTCTTTCATGCACCTCCGTCTATCATTTTTTCAGCATCCTTGTCACACAGATATTTTTTTCCTGGAAAACATGGTCTCCTCACGTTGAAAGTTTGGTTTGTGGGGGGTGGCATTAATTAATGGCTGATCTACAAATTCTACGGTACATTCATCTGAACTTTGACAAGGAGCATGCTCAAGTTCAAACATGATGACATAGTTAATGGTAGGGGGTGGTGCTAGGAATGGCTTTGGCACATAGAGTCGGACTTGAGGCCCAACATATGGCCAGTATCGCCCAACATTGAACATGGACAATGACATAATTAAATGCTGACCCTGAAATAAAAAGCAAAATATTCAAGTCTAAAAAAAGTGTAGGAGTCACATTTTTCATCCTCTTATGTGGCTGACCCAAAAGTTAATAATTCAGATCTGATCTTTAAAAGACTCTAATGGCTGTTTAGTAACTTTTAAATTTTAGAATCTCAATAACAAGCAATTATATTTTTTTTTCATGAATAGCATAAATATTGTTAATAGTCAGAATCCTATTGAACTACTAGGTCCTATAAAAATCTCATTTGTATTGTGAACCTTTAAGGATGACTTAAGATGTCCAACATGTATGTTATATTCATTATTACATATATTATTTGATAACATATATTTGTGAAATACAATTACATTTCACTTCATAATTATCAACGGCCTTTGATTTACATATACAGTATATTGTTAGATGGATAGTTACCTTGCCCCAGCTACTCATGTCTAAATAGGTATCTGTAGGGGTCTTCGGAATGTGTAGTTTACCCACATAGAAGGAGGGTGTGGTTAGGTTGCCATTCACAAAGGGTTTGTCCCTAAATAACATGTACAATATAATGAGATCAAACAAATGAAATGCACATTACTATTTTTTAATTGGTATCCTCATTAGAAAAAATATCAGCCAAGTTTTTATATGAACATATGAACACATACATGTAACTTGACATAGAACAGTATTTTTTTAAACATTTTTAAACCAGAAATTGCTAATAAGACAACATGGCCAGATAGCAAAGTATGTATTTACAAACTGAGGAAATAATGAGCCATTTTGCACACTTGACTTTTGAATAATTTGCATAAGAATTCACTCAGCCATTGGCCTAGGGTAATAGAACACATTGAGCTGTTCCTAGCACCTTGGGAAAAATATTCTGGTCTGTTGACTGATCAGACATTAAATAACTGTTTAACAGATCCCAGTCAAACTTATTTTTACCTATAGATCCCATTCAAACTTATATTTACCTATATATCCTATTCAAATTATATTTACCTATAGATCCCAGTCAGACGTATATTTACCTATAGATCCCAGTCAGGTGTATATTTACCTATACATCCCAGTCAAACTTATTTTTACCAATAGATCCCAATAACACTTTTTTTTTACCTATAGATCCCAGTAAGAATTGCTGGTTTGAAGTTTTATTTACCTATAGATTTCAGTCTGACTTATATTTACACTTACAGTGTATATATCCCAATTAGACTTGCTGGTTTGAAGTTTTACTTACCTATAGATTCCAGTAAGACTTGCTGGTTTGAAGTTTAACTTATTCCAATAAGACTTGCTGGTTTGAAGTTTTACTTACCTATAGATTCCAGTAAGACTTGCTGGTTTGAAGTTTAACTTATTCCAATAAGACTTGTTGGTTTGAAGTTTAACTTACCTATAGATTTCGGTAAGACTTGCTGGTTTGAAGTTTAACTTATTCCAATAAGACTTGTTGGTTTGAAGTTTTACTTACCTATAGATTCCAGTCAGACTTGCTGGTTTGAAGTTCTCAATGGTCAATGGATAAATAAGCCATCCAGTTAACAAGGAGCCACCAAATGTTACATTCTTAATCAGACCCTGAAACAAAATCCTACAGAGTGATGCATACATTTAACCCATTTGTTGGCATTGTGATAGCATTTGTACATTGTATAAGGTTATGTTCAGTACAGACAGTCAGAATTGCTTTGTTATAAGTTCAATTTATCCACTTAATGATACCATTACCAATGTTCTCCAAATGGTTTTTTCACCTGTCATGTGACTTTTGCACTTACCAAAACTTGTATTTATATCTAAAGAGTTCCAGGGAAAGTATTACAAAATGGCTTAAGGTATATACCTTGGAATTATTATTCATCTCCGATCCAAATCCAATGTGGCCCATGTTCTCAACCAGAATATCGATCGTTTGATTCACCTTCAGAGTTATATTCATTGTCTTCTGTCCATTACGATCAAAGACACCTTGAGGAACCTGTCAAGAGGGAGAAACCTTGCTATAACTACATGTACACTCATATCCGGGGTGTGTTCAAGATCATTGCAGCTAAACAGCTCTACACAGAGCTACAATCTTGAATGAAATGCTTGGCTAGCTAGTACAATAGAGATCACATGTTAATTAATTCATACAGTATGCTAATAGACCTCAATACCTAGCCTTGCTGCTAGGCTAGCTGCTAAAATCTGGAAAACAGTCCTGTAATGTGAAGGTTTTTCAGCTACCCAAATATTATAAAATTTCAATATAAATCAAAGAGCTCCTATTCCCTTACAGATCAGGCTTACATATTACATCCTTGTCAACCATTCTGATTCCTAATCTAGTGTTGATATTCACAACAGTACTACAGAACTACTTGCTACATTTGTACATACTTGGTTACCACAGAGTACACTGTGATTTGTTGCTCCAATATTTTATTATACTTAAGTGATCAGTAAAAAATAATTGGCTTAAGTGGTAAGTACTACCTATTTACACACTCTCTCCACACCACACATATATTATCTGAACTTGATTACCTGATTTATCATGAGATAGGCCCGGTCCCGCACACCAGAAAGATCAAGAGTTTTAGGTTCAGAAGGAGTGTCCCCCAACAGAGTGTGTCTGTATAACACAAAGCCTTGATACTGAAATCAGAGAACACCAGCACTTCAATAAATGTATGTATTAACATTGGACCAAAGGGACAGTCTCAATGTACTCATCACAGCTGTAATCCAATTCTACTGAAATCATTGGCCAATAAATATGACTCAATATATGAATATTCAGTCATTTTCAAGATGACAAATATAATAATAGACCATGGTCATTGACACTGTCAGTGACCTCATAGTCAGTAGTCACCTGATTAAGTCTATTTAACTTAATATTCATTCAACGTCTTAATACTGACTCATTGCATGTACCATGGCTCTAAGCAATGAATTGTTTTATAATGAAAACAAATATATATCATTTTGATACATCCCCTCAATAAATACCTGACTTATTGCCTCCATTGTCAGTGGATACTCTGATTTGATTGGTCCTTTTGGACAGAGAGTCTCCAGAGCATCCTGAATGGTAGCCATCTGTGAAGAAATCGGTAAAAACAGTCATATATCGCAGGAAAAAGTGGCTCACATGATATTCATGTGATTTTCTTTTTATTTGAAAATTGTGCGAAAATCACATAAAAATTATGTAAATATTTTTTCATGTGAATATCATGTAAATTGATTTGATCGGCATTTGCATAATATTTTTAGAACTTTCATGTGAAGTTTTCTTTGCATGATATTTACACAACTTCAATATACCCTTCATGTAAAAGTCATATGAAAGTTATGTCGAATTAGCATGAAGTTTTCACATATTCAGGTGTCTTGTTCTTCATCTCTTTCTCATGCAAAGAATTCACATGAAGTTTGTGTGAATTTGATGTAAAATTTTTGCGAGCCACTTTTGCTTGTGTCCTAAGTATTAGTAATTAGCTCTACTACTATGAGAGAGAGAGAGAGAGAGAGAGAGAGAGAGTAGTACAAAGTACACTACTTACAAAGTTCATCTCAACTTTTCCATACGCTGTTTTTGTAGTGTTTTGTGGAATGGGCATATTTGGAAGTTGCTTATACTTTAAAGAAACAAAATGAAACATAGTTAATACTGAATTTGCATAGCTACTACTTTAAATTTTATTTAAGATGTCATTTCATATTTGTTAATGAATCTTTCTTTTTACTGTCCTCCATTTAAAAAATGATTGGACATATTTAACTTTTCCGTAATTTCTGTTTCCCGTAATTTAATAGAACTATTATATGTGTAAATTGTTGGTTTGTCAATAAACTTATAATTCCATCCTGTTAGAAATTATAATCACTTTCTGATCTCTATAAGAAATTCTAATAAATCTCTGGACATTCTATGCCAATTAAGACTAGTAACTTTTCATAAGGGCTATCTGGTAAAGGCAACTTTAGTTCAGAAAAAGTAAAAAGGTCAAGATTGTGGAACAACATTTGAGGTCTTTCCTCAGATGCGATAAAGACCAATGATATAAATTTATTTATACTGACCTTGGAAATAACCTGTCTAATGGCAATGTATTTATCAGTTATGTCCCCTGCCTCTGACATTGGGGCATCGTAATCATAGCTAGTCGGCACAGCTTGGAAGGGGGCGTAATTTGCTCCTGTAGAATAGAAAATACAAAAATCAGCATCCTTCTAAAATCTTGAAAACATTTATGTAGCAATGTTTACTGTTAAAAATTACATACTTAGTATTATGAAATTGTCCTATAAACACAGAATCTTAAGTCGGCATATTTTAGTACACATTAATGATTACACAGTTATTATAAATTTCCATTCTGTAAAATCATTTGAATTCATAGAGTCAAATTTCATGGATGATAGCTAAATATTAACAATTGTTGGGGTCTTATTTCACAGGCAAAAATCTATTCATTATAGAAATATAACAACATTCACCAAGGACTCATGGTTAGACTGAGTACAAAAAATATTAAACGTCATAAAATATAATGTTACTACAGTATAAACACACATTTCAATGAATATTATATGCCTCAGTCACATCCAGTTTATTCTTTGTTTCTTTGTACACTGCATACCACAAGCTACAAGCTTATGAACAGTTGGGAATAAAAGGGGGGGGGGGGTTAAAAGGAGAAATGTCTCGACTTTAACATAATTTTGAATATCGTATCTCTAAAAATAAGCAAAACCTAATTGACATTTCTGAAGAGAAATTGATTAATTTAAAAAGCAAACCAATCTCTACCTCAGTCTACATATTATGATTATGATGGGTAAAAGGGGAAAGGGGGGTGTAATTTTCCAATGAAGTTGTAAAGTTTTAAGTGAGATCTGTGTTAGTCATAGGAACTTCAGCCTTAAACTTTTTGCATAATTTATAAAATGAAATTTTCAAACATTCAAGAGCAAAAAATATAAACAGCACTGGTATACAAATATACAAGCCATCATTAACCTTCTATGAATGAAAATCATTGCACTGCAATATAGCACTGATATAGCTAATAAACTATATACATAATATATATCTTAACAAAGGAACATGCCTGAAGTATTCCATTTATAATTATTGTAACTAAATAACACCTGAACTAATTGGATTCTGTACATTAGAACTTGCATCATAATCAGCACCTGTTTTGGAAAATTTACACACAAAAACTTTGTTCACATTTTTTTAACTTGATAGTTCTTCCAATATTAAATTTGGTTCTTAACTCTGCATAAATTTTGATAAAGTATATTTTGATAAAATATACTTGAAATACATTAGTAGTTTTTTTCCTTCAGAGCCAATTTAAGTTAAGAAAATCTAAAAAACTGCAAAATTTAAAATCTCATTAAAAGGAGGAAATGCAGTTTGACAACCCTCTCTAACATCAAAAATCTTATTAAGAGGATTACACCATTTAAGTTTCATAATCCTCTTATGAAATGTTGTTTTAATGCTTATGATTTTCCAAAAGATATGAATGTTATAATAATTGCAAACAATTTTAGCATAGGTTGTGGATCAAAACTGGACAAAAAAGACATTTTAACTTCACAATTTTTTAAAGGAATAATAGACAATTATTCCATTAAGAGTTATCTCTCTTATCAGAGTATCAATGGACCTTAAAGAAACAGGTCATGAAAACTTGGTCATGTAAAATTTACTTATTTGTCAGAAGAGGTCCCAAATGTTTATTGAAGATTTCCATAGTAAATATTTCAAAGGAAACCTTTTATTTTCTCAACATACTAGTGTAATTCATGTATATGTGTTGTCAAATTTAATGACATAGACAATGACTTTTTCTTGAGAAAGTTCTTTTTTTTAAACAAATCAATTACATCATCAACAATATGCAATAGTTTGAACCAAAGCACTTTAAAATTGGAATATTATTATTTGCACAAACAAAAATTGATCATTTAGAAGGGAAACATAATCTATTGCAAAGGACAAGAGCAAACTTGCCAAATATTAACACACTAAAAATATGCTGCTAATTTATATAGATTTAATATACAAATTATTACAATAATGTATAAACTTGTGGTATAAATGCCACACTGGTTATTATAAGATCTAGCAGCAACTTACATAAATATATTTAAATAAAGTTGTTTTTGTTTAGTGGATTAATTGTAAAAATAAATTACCATTCCAAAAGCCAAAGTTTGTTCCTCCTTCAAACATGTACCTGCAAAATTAAGAAATGTCATTTTCATATAAATATTATGTAGTTATATTTGTAATCATATAATGTTAAAAAGGATCCTTTATTAAACATTTTTTAAGGTACCAATAACTGGTGTAAAATTCATTTGTGCAATCACTTTAAATATTCAAGTATTAATTTAGCTAATTGATAAAATATACTGCTATCGGATATGCAGAGAAAGGTTAAAGAAACTGAGTTAAAAGGGCAGTATACTAAAATTCTTAAGAAAAGGATCAGAAATCCACAGTTATTTCCCCTTACTCACATATTGACATTGGCGCCGTAATCCAACAGCATGTCTAGAGCTTTGGAGAAGACATCCAGATTGACCGTAGAGTGGGGGTACCCCCAGTGATCCAGCCATCCAGGGTAAAATTCAGAATTTACCTACAATAGACATCAGAAACTCATGCACATGTACACCATCAAGGAACAACTCCAGCATTATTAAAAGAAGTGTTTTTCCCCCTATTGTTAAAGTCCATAAGAAATCCCTGTGGAGGTTTATAATTTTTATACTACAGTATTGAGTTTTTCCATCACACACCTAAATGCTTTAGGTTACATGTATTCCATATACAAGAAAATAATTATTGGCATTATCAGTAATATTTATAATTTTTTTTTGGTATTACCTCAAGCCATAAAATATTATAAGGTAAAGGGTAACAGATTTACTGGCTATTATTTTGAACTGCAACAGTCATACTTAAATGTTTGTTGATATGAAAAGAATTTAATGATGCTTCTAATGTCAGTATGATTATTGTACAATAAAATCCACCTCAACCATCATGCTTTGTTCATAATGTTCCTTTCTAGGAGCTGATAATTGTATTATATGAACAGCCACTAAAGAGAAGTTCCTTAATTTCTGAGAGTTGATGAACAGTTATTACCTATACTTACTAAAGGTCCAAATGGTTCAAAGTTAATCAACAGATATTACTTACTAAAGGTCCAAATGGTTCAACATTAATACATAGTTGATACTTACTAAAGGTCCAAATGGTTCATAGTTTAAAAAATGTTATCACTTACAAAAGGTCCAGATGGTTCATAGTTAATAAACAGTTATATTATTTACTAAAGGTCCAAATCATTCATAGTTAATAAACAATTTTTACTTATTAAAGGTCCAAATCGTTCATAGTTAATAGACAGTTATTACCTATTAAAGGTCCAAATGGTTCATAGTTAATTAGTTATTACTTACCACAGGTCAAAATGGTTCATAGGTAATAGACAGTTATTACTTATTAAAGGTCCAAATGGTTCTTAGTTAATAGACAGTTATTACTTACCAAAGGTCCAAATGGTTCTTAGTTAATAGACAGTTAATACTTACTAAAGGTCCAAATGGTTCATAGTTAATAGACAGTTAATACTTACTAAAGGTCCAAATGGTTCTTAGTTAATAGACAGTTAATACTTACTAAAGGTCCAAATGGTTCATAGTTAATAGACAGTTAATACTTACTAAAGGTCCAATTGGTTCATAGTTAATAGACAGTTAATACTTACTAAAGGTCCAAATGGTTCTTAGTTAATAGACAGTTAATACTTACTAAAGGTCCAAATGGTTCATAGTTAATAGACAGTTAATACTTACTAAAGGTCCAAATGGTTCATAGTTAATGGACAGTTATTACCTTTTAAAGGTTCAAATGGTTAATAGTTAATAGAGTTATAACTTACTAAAGGTCCAAATGGTTCATAGTTAATAGAGTTATTACTTACTAAAGGACCAAATGATTCATAGTTAATAGACAGTTATTACTTATCAAAGGTCCAAATGGTTCATAGTTAATAGACAGTTAATACTTACTAAATGTCCAAATGGTTCATAGTTAACAGATAGTTAATACTTACTAAATGTCCAAATGGTTCATAGTTAACAGATAGTTAATACTTACTAAAGGTCCAAATGGTTCATAGTTAATAGACAGTTAATACTTACTAAAGGTCCAAATGGTTCATAGTTAATAGACAGTTAATACTTACCAAAGGTCCAAATGGTTCATAGTTAACAGATAGTTAATACTTACTAAAGGTCCAAATGGTTCATAGTCTCTCTGTGGCTGGAAAGCCTTCTGAGGATTGACTGAGAAATATCAAAACAACAATACATCAGTTAGTGAATGACATCACTGCACGTCATAAAACTATGATGTAATCTATGAAGTCTTTATCTGATTCATTTTTGTAACTTTTACTCTTTTCTTCATATATTATAGATTTTTTTCAGCTTATCACTTTACCTAATACATGGTTAAAATTCATAGGTTGAGATTAATCGATTCTTTTTAAAATATCTATTCCCTACAAATTGTAGTAGTAAATGTAGTGAGTGCATTCTAGATTAACTTTTTTAAAATACAGATGAACTTTGGTATCTCGAACACTGATATCTTGAATACCATGGATATGTCAAAGTGATTTGGAAGTCCCAAGTACTTATTCTTTTAGCATTTTACCCTCGATATCTCAAATCCACTGATATCTTGAAGTTTTTTCTTGGTCACATCGAGGACCTAACAAGGTTTAACTGTATTACTGTCAGAGAAATGGAAATACATATTGCAAAGCAATAAAAAGTAATTAGTGTTGGTAACAGCTAAACTTTAGCATCTCAAATTAGGCTAAGTTTTAAAAAAAAATGTAAAATATCAATAGGTGATTGAATCCTCAATTTAGTCTGAACAGAAGACTCAGATATCAATAGTTGATTGAATCCTAAATTTAGTCTGGACCGAAGACTCAGATATCAATAGGTGATTGAATCCTAAATTTAGTCTGGACCGAAGACTAAGATATCAATAGGTGATTGAATCCTAAATTTAGTCTGAACCAAAGACTCAGATATCAATAGGTGATTGAATCCTCAATTTAGTCTGGACCAACGACTCAGATATCAATAGTTGATTGAATCCTAGATTTAGTCTACCGAAGACTCAGATATCAATAGGTGATTGAATCCTAAATTTCATCTTGACCAAAGACTCAGATATCAATAGGTGATGGAATCCTAAATTTAGTCTGGACCGAAGACTAAGATATCAATAGGTGATTGAATCCTAAATTTCATCTTGACCAAAGACTCAGATCTATATCAATATTGATTGAAACCTAAATGTAGTCTGGACCAAAGACTCAGATATCAATAGTTGATTGAATCCTAAATTTAGTCTGGACCGAAGACTCAGATATCAATAGGTGATTGAATCCTAAATTTAGTCTGGACCGAAGACTAAGATATCAATAGGTGATTGAATCCTAAATTTAGTCTGAACCAAAGACTCAGATATCAATAGGTGATTGAATCCTCAATTTAGTCTGGACCGACGACTCAGATATCAATAGTTGATTGAATCCTAGATTTAGTCTACTGAAGACTCAGATATCAATAGGTGATTGAATCCTAAATTTCATCTTGACCAAAGACTCAGATCTATATCAATATTGATTGAAACCTAAATTTAGTCTGGACCGAAGACTCAGAAATCAATAGGTGATTGAATCCTAAATTTAGTGGACCGATGACTCAGATATCAATAGTTGATTGAATCCTAAATTTACTCAGATATCAATAGGTGATTAAATCCTCAGAATATATTTGACAATATCATATTCTGAGATACTAAAGTTCAACTGTACTTATTTGCAGAAAGTGAGAAGAAATCAAACTTTTTAAAAAATTGCAGCTTTACATGTATCAGTAGTTAATTTACAATGAATGAAATGACAAGAAGAAAATGGTATTATAGTCTTTGACATTTATGAATGGCTCTTTAGAGCTAAATCTTACAGGTGTTCCCAAAATCTACCGTGGCATATGCTCCTGCCACTGTTCCACATTTCAGGAATGAATCTGCACCCCCATCAGTAGTGTATAGCAGTGCCCGGGTACCCAGATGTTCCCGGGCCTTGTCCCTCAGGTGAGCCATGTAGTCATGGTCACAGGTAAAGTAGCTGCCATACTCATTCTCAATCTGTAAGTACACCAAGGTCATCCTCCATCAACAAGGTAAAGTGGAGACAAACCTTAATCTACTGAACCAAACTATGAGCCTTCTAACAAATTTGAATCTACTAGGAGGAGAGGTATAAATATTTGAAAAGAGGAGTCCTTGTCATTATAGAACATATTCATGTTGGTATTTTTGGCACTATGTGCTTGGGGCAGTGGTGTACGGTGGTCTGGTCATGATGGGCTCACTTGCAGGTGTCCAGATAGCTCAGTCAGTTGTACACCCTGTCTAGAATTTAACAGGTCTGGGTTCAAATCCTCCTGCCTGTAGCATTCTCTCCCTTCCTATTACATTGCTGTGCCATGTCTCGGAAGTGTCTGGTGAAAGATACAGCAAAGAAGAGTCTGGGTTGGTGTCTTTGGGGGGTGAAGACATTTTTTAGAAATGAGGATTGTGGCAGTCAAATATGGGTGGCCAGATAAATAGCTCAGTTGGTAGAGCTTCTGATTAGAGTTCAGGGGTTCCAGGTTCAAATCCTGGTCTGGTCCATCTCATTTTCCCCTTCCTATTACAGACTAAATGTTTGTGAACCATATATCTTGCTGACAGATTTATATACAGTTGAACTTCGATATCTCGAACACTGATATCTCGAATACCTTGGATATGTCGAAGTGATTTGGAAGTCCAAACCCTTATTTTTTTTAGGAATTTTACCCTCCATATCTCGAATCCTCAGATATCTCGAAGTTTTCTCGCGGTCCCATTGAGTTCGAGATAACGAGGTTTAACTGTATATCCTAATCCTAATATATCAGGAAATACACTGGTTTAGTTACTGCAAAGGTGCAGACACATTTAACAAAAATGTCTTCCCAACAAAATAGTGTTCCAGATACTCAGAGAAAACTCTACAATTCACTTACTTTTTGCATGAATTTTTAAAAACATATACTGATCATGCTTGCTGCAATTTTTATCAAGTGTTTGAAGCATTTTCAACCCATTCCTAGCAAAGATATTGGAGCCTATCTCATTAATGCAATAAGAAAAGACAGAAGAAATATTGCATGACACATAAGTCTACATACAAATACTAAAATACAGATGATTCATATTAAAATCTTTGTACTAGTACAGCATATTGCTTCACACATGAATTCCAAATGAACAAATAATTTGTATGATTCACTAATATAAACTGGTATTTTCAAAAAGAATCTACATGTGTGTGTGAGTAAAATTATGTAAATTACAGTTCATGTAACTTAAAGTGAAATTAACATTTTGGGAAATTTTTGGTAGTTTTCACTTGGTATTCTCATGTGAATTTTCATGTGAGGTTCATTTGCTATTTGTGCAGAAAGAAAGATTTGAAGTTCTGTTTAATAAAAGAAAGTTAATGGATTGTTGTGAAAAAGAACTGAATCAAGGCAAACAACACTACACAAATAATCCTCACAGAAAAGAGTGACACCAAAATCTGTTGTGGCATAAGCCCCAGGGGTAGGGCCACATTCAAAGTTGGACTGTAGATCCCCATCTGTGGTATAAATTATGGCCCTGGGCCCCAGAATCTGCCTGGCCTTGATAAACAGGTGGGCCATATAGTCATGGTCACAAGCATAGTAACTACCATACTCGTTCTCAATCTGCAATGTTACCATGACAACCAAAATATGTGCTGTGTAGAAAGATCCATAAAAGAACAATGTGTATGATCATGATGACAGGAAAAATAAAAAAAATTAATTGTAACTTTAATCCAATTGAATTTCTTTCCATGGATTTTTATAATTTTGAAAATGTCATCATGTATATAAAACTGTTAACACTCTGTGACATCCTGTACTATATATAGGATACTACTGGTACATGTATATATAGGTATATATACTAGAATATATACTAGATTTTATAACCAGAAATAGGACTGGTTTTAGTCCTGGAGAGGACTTACATTGGCAGTGGTTACTGTCCAATCCCTTTATGTTTCATTCATCATAAATCCATAATACTATCAGTGTACTTCACAACAGTGTCTCATGACATACTTGGAGGATACTTTTGAAACATATGGCTTGGCACCAATTTGTTTTTTTGTGCACACTTGAGTTTCACAACATTAATGTATCAGTAATTGGTGGATTAATTTATTTTCAACAGTCTTCTTTTGACTGGGTGTTGGATGAGACTTGGTTAATATTTTTTTGGGGGGTGGGGGGGGGGGGTGGGGGGGGGCAACTTCTTAAAATAGTCTGACAAGCAAAATAAAAACAACCCTAAACTGACCAAAAACTTGGGGGGACTTAAAAAAATAATCTGATAAACAAAAAAAGCCTAAACTGACTAAAAACTGGGGGGGGGGGGGCATCTTTGAAAAAAAAATCTGACAAGCAAAAAAAAAATGATTACCTGTCCAAATCATGGAATTTACCAGTGCTCAGCCTCAAAACAACAAAAGAAAGGGGGCACAGGTCAGTATTAGTCAGAAAAAATGTGCCCCCCCCCTTCTTCAGGCCTTTATTACCTACAGTATCTGTGCTCATACTTAGTCAACAGATGACTGCATAAATAATATATTGTTTAATCAAAAGAGAGAAACAGTCCTGCTGTCCCTTTCCTCACCTGAACCATCAGCACCGGTCCCCCATTTTCATACAGAAGAGGAGTGAGCATGGGTAGTAGCTTGTCCATCCAGATGTCCACATATTTGATATAAGCTGTAACACAAATGTCCACATATTTGATATAAGCTGTAACACAAATGTCCACATATTTGATATTAGCTGTAATACAAATGTCCACATATTTGATATTAGCTGTAATACAAATGTCCACATATTTGATATAAACTGTAACACAAATGTCCACATATTTGATATAAGCTGTAATACAAATGTCCACATATTTGATATTACATGTGGCTGTAACACAAATGTCCACATATTTGATATAAGCTGTAACACAAATGTCCACATATTTGATATAAGCTGTAACACAACAGAGAAGTTCACCTTTATAATTAGGGATGTCAATTTTATCAATAATTAATATTGGAATATTCAATGAAAGTATTCGAATATATTCGAATATTCGATAAAATAAATAAAATCTGGGTTTTTTTTTTTTTTAAATGCATCATCCTACTCTCATGAAAGGTTTAGCATAGGTATTCTTATATTGGAGGTAAAATTGTATGAAGACTTTTGTAGATGTACAATAAGGAATTTCATTTTATATTTGTCAACGTTTGAAATAAATAATTGATTTAAATGTAGAAAACTATAATTTTAACGAATGAAACGTGTTTTTATAGTAGCTCCGAGGAACTAGACATCTTACCAAAGGCAGGATAGTCGTATACTGTTCAGATTTCAATACATGTAATTAATTACAATTATCAACCTAATAAGAGATATGATTATAATCTTTGATACAATTTTTTTAAAATATAAACAAATATTACCATAGACAATTTTTCTAGGTAATTAACTAATTTCCTGATAATGAATATCAAATTCAGGATTATGTACAACCCGAGATAATCAAGTAATTTACATATTTATTCTGAAATTGAGCCCTTTACGATATTAATTACAGACTAATTCTATCGGACAATCATTCAATGATCAATTAAATTTATTTTGATAAGTACATGTATACTCTTCAGGTCTTTTAAACATTCTGCGAAGGTTTTCATTTTGTCCTCGATTCTAGATCCGATCGTATTTATTTAATAAAAACTATGAAAATACGTTTCTTTAATACCTTACTCAAAACAAAATAATTTAATAGATATATACAATAAGAAAGTACTGAGAGAAATCAGGCGATCGAAATTGATCACTTGTAAATTAAACAGGGATAATTCCAGCACTGTTCTAATCAAAATTTATCAAACACAGTACTTCTTTTTATGAAATCTGATAAAACACCGAATATTCGAATCTTAAATTCTTATTCGAATATCAACTCATCGAATGAATATTCGAATGTTCGAATATTCGTTGACATCCCTATTTATAATATATAGTTATTCATCACATGTATGTCTAGATCAGATAACCCCATAAACAAAATGACCAGATCATGTACAATGCTTCTCTGCAGAGCTTTATGGAACAATTTAATCGGTTTAACCCCAAAGAAATCTTACACTTTACAAAGAAATACATACATCAAGAAATTGTGGGTTAAGTGCCACATTATAGTAAATGATCTAACAACCAAGCTTTATGATAAATGTGATGACCTTAACTTTTCAATTGTCAACTTCCCTTACTTATGCAGCAATATACCTTCATCACCTGCATACCGGGTTTATATCTCTCAGTTGATTTGATACGCAAGAGCATGCTCTACGTATGTATGATTTCTAAAATGAGGTAAATTATTGACAAACAAGTTGATGAAACAAGAATACCAGCAGTCTCGTTTAAAGTCATCATTTCGTAAGTTCTATGGTCGATACAATGACCTTGTCAGCAAATACAATTTATCATTGAGTCAAATGCTGACTGACGTTTTTCATACTAATTGTTAGGCCATTATTTACACACTGAATTGTCGATGGATTTTTTCCGTTATTTCTCGATCGTGACAAGGAGCACACAGCGGGTGTGACCGGTTGGCAGGGGATGCTCACTCCTCCATGGCACTTGATCCCACCTCTGATGTTTTGGAGGTCCGTGTTTGCTCTGCTCATATTTTGTAATGTTTAATGGACTTTTGAGCTTGAATACTGTTCGTTATCTCCATATATTTCATTTTGAGACATATTCACCAATAATACTAGTGCTTCAGTCATTTTCAGTATCATGCACTGCTTTGTTGCAAATAGACAAACCAATATGTGGCAGGAAAATTGCCAGTGAAGGAGTAGGAGATGGGGAGTTATATAATGTTTCCACATACTGTAGATGTATTTTTTTTCCATGGAATCACAATATCTGGGTAGAAAACTATGCTAAATTCTTGGATTTCAACTGTATGCCTTAATTGTATTTAAAGTACGCTGGAACAAATTTCTGCATAAAATTTTTGACTACATACATAGCCTAAATTAGCATAATGCAGAAAAAGTGGCAAACGGTAAATCTAGTACTCCCGACTCTTTTGGTTTTCTATTGATATTCTTCATTCTGTTGTGCAGAATCATTTCATACTTGTCAGGCACATTTTCTGCTTTGGAATACATTGATGCATACATAAATATGTCAACAATATTACATATAATATGCTAAATCAAGGTCTTTTGATTTCTGACTCCCGATTGTTCCGGATCATGATTTTTTTTTATTAATATTCTTAATTTCACCAAAAATAATTGCTTCCAACTTCTTGAACATAATAGCTATGTTAAAGTTAGTTCCCACATACATAAATATATCATCAACATTATATATGATAATGACATCTGTCCAAAAATGGTAAAATCTAGTACTAGGTCATAAATGTAGAAACCAAAAATGGATACCAATTCATAAATGCCACCATTCGTAATATTTTTTATATTTTTATACTTATGTGAATTAAATTCAACATAGTTAATATGCCTGACAAGTTTGAATCGAATCTGTATAGCTATATGGAAAATATCAACCAAAAACCTAAATCAGAGTGAGTCGGGTGTCGGAAGTCGGCAGTACAATGTACTAGATTTACTGGTTGCCAGAAAAAGTACTTCTACAGCATATGATAAACTCTAAATGAAATTTTATATATTTTTACTTGGTTCCATTTTTCTGAACACCATCTTTGGGTCCTCCTTCAGGAGCCAGGCTGGGAATCCTCCCTAAAACGAATCAATACATGTACTACACTGGAACATATAGCAAACACACTCTCCAGTATACCAAAAATACAGAATTAGGATATCACTTGTCAAGCAGTTATATACATTATGGACTAAGACCACTGCATTTGTAGATTTTTTTTATATTATACACCAGTACATGACCTGTATTATCAATTTAGACTTTCTAATACTCATGTCTTACAAAGTCCCACTCTCCACAGATGTAGGGCCCAGCTCTAAGGAGAACCAGTAATCCCACTTCCTGTGCTATCTTTATAAACTGCACAAAATCCTTCTGTCCATCGAAGTCATACTGTCCTTTTTCTGGTTCATGGAAGTTCCATGGAATGTAACTATAACATATACAAAATAATGAATTAGCTTATCATTTACCACAGCAAAGCCACTAAAATATGAAGCCCTCTTTTTAAAGTACATGTGCACGTACAGTATTTCTATGAAAAACTTTGATTTAGCAGTTCCATCTCATAGGCGTCGGAAGCAAATTGAAAGTGGGGTGGCTAACTGAAAGTGGGGGGGCTAAACCAACCGAAAAAGGTAAGCCCCAATTATCAATGCCTATATTATGTCTATCTTTGAAAAAAAAAAAAGTGGGGTTCCGATGCCTATGCATCTTAGCCCCAAGGGCCAAGATTTGAGCAATTTTGCATCAACACTCAATCATTTACTACATGTAGGTAGCTTTTGTTTAAGTTTTGTAAAGGGACAAGGAGTGCTATTTGAACAAACTTGAATTCCCTTCAATCCACAATGTTTTATTGAAAGTTTGCTTAAAATTGGCCCATAATTTTTGAAAGGTTGAAAATCAAAAAAGTTTAAAACATAAAAACACAAATAACAAACAAAGCAATATCTTATGGTCATAAGCAATAAGCTCTTTAAAGTCTTAAAATTTGAAAAAAATACCAATACTTTTAATTTTATTATTTAATTGTCACATCTTGTTATCAATTACACATTTTTCTCTTTTAGTCTGGCCAAAAAAGTTCTACGTTGCAACAAGATGTTCTTTTTCTTACAACTGAATGGCATCCAGTCCTGCTGCATACATCTTCATCAGTCGGTCTCTCCAGTATTCTTTAGGGACTCTCATGTAATGAATACTCCCCGATATATATCGAAAACTCTTCCCATCTTTAACAAAAGTGTTCCCCAGGTAGTCAATCTCAAATGTTCTATTCTGTGCCTATAATGAAATTCACAATGCACATTTAAAATAAGCAAATTGTTTTAAACGAAATTAAAAATGCTGAAGTACAGCAAATTAAGACAGTATTAAAAATATTTTAAATAAACATTAAAGCCATTTATGGTGTATCTGAGCTAAAAAATAAAAATCAATCAATATTGAGTGTAAATATGCATGATATATGTTATGTACATTCAAATCAAAATTTTCACCGATTTGAACTCGAATAACCTATCGTTTCTATAGTTAAATTGACTTTTAACTTTGTTGTGGTATTTACTGAATATTAATAAGATCTGCCACATGCACGACTGCGGGATAATACAGCACTACAGCCATGATCAAAGAAGAGTTATAAGTGTACATGATATTGTTAATATAACATCAATTTCTCTTTCTGCTTCTGCCAAGTATTGCCCACAATCAGCAAGCTGATTATTATGGAAAATCTTTTCTACTCTCCATATCTGCCTATCTCCTAGGTCCCTGCTAAAACTATATACTGTAATAGCAATCGCAGCGAGCAGCGCGAAGTGCCGCTCGTCACTGCGAGCTCTTAAAGCAACACCTGGGCGAAGAGAAAATTCAGACTTTGCACATTGATCCAAACGATTTTTTTTTCTGCAGTAACCTGTGGTCCCATAATGCTTTGCGAATTGCATCTCGCCGCAAACTACGTTCTCACGGTAGCAACAAAAGTTCAACAAAAATCACTTTGATTTAATGGATATTGCAGAAAAAAATGATGATGGCAGAGTGAAAAGTCTCTTATTTTGCAATTAATTTATTTATTTATTACCTGTGACGATTGAGGTATCGACATCATAAAGTAAAGAATGCACAAAAACAGAAAAGTCCATCTCCACTTCCACTCAACGGCAGCCATTTTGCATGTCATGTGATGACGCCTTTCATCATGTGACTAGCGATGAGTATGTAAAGTATGACTTGGGCAAGTGCCGAATCCGGAGAAGTTGTAAGCACTTTTTTTGGAACTCAAAGTACACAATGTGCTCCTGGGGAAATCAATAGATTATAGAAACAATTATGTATAAATTTTATACATGCACATATTCAATATTTACATTAATTTCCAGTGCCCAGGATACCTGTTCACAGCTTCTAAATCAAAGTACTGAAAGTACTCATGGGGGTTAAACAAGGATTGCTTTCAGATACAAATCAACACCAACATAATAAATAATTTAAAAAGCATTTGAATAACGAGGCCCATATGCGACAATGCTCATCTGAGTAACTTTAGTGACTCTGCTCTTTCTTATTCAGATTTTCAAAAAAAATGTGTCAGCATAAATTGATATGGCAATATCTTAAATCTGAGGGGTCTCTAAATCCACACAAATGGAGATGCTAAAAATCAATATGATTAACAATGCCTTGCAGTTATGAAGGTGTTTTTTTTCTGTTCACACGCATTCAACTTTAATCCCAACTGTAGCCAAATCTAACCTTGGATCCCTAATTTGAAAAACCAACTGAATCCACACATTTCGAAATGTTTGCATACTAATGGTTCTATTGTAGTAAGTTTAGTAAAAACAAAAGTAAATCATTTGGAAGTAAATATGGATGGTTACAACATTGACTAACATGCTGATACAGCTAATCCCCATTTCCTAAAATAAAAACTATATCTCCTGGGCTCAAAATCTTTAACTTGCCTTACATTGATATACTTGTACAAAATACTAATGAGAGCATTTGATACACAATGCGTTCCTCTTCTCCTTTCTAAAACTGTTTGTTTTGTTTGTCTGAATGGTGTTTAACATCCTCCTCGAGAATTTTTCACTCATATGGAGACACCACAGCTTGTCGGCGGAGGGCTGCAAATTTATACCTAAGCTCAGCACTCAGGGTCATTGAGCAGTGAGGGATTTTTTCCGTGCCAACACTTACTGCGACATGTAACCTCGGTTTATACGGTCTCATCCGAATGACCGTTCTCGAAATCCCGCAGTGGATTCGAACCCGCGACGTAAGGATCAGCTCCTTACTTTGCGTCTCTAGAGCAGACGCTCTAACCACTGCGCCACGCGGGTGACCCTTCTAAAATTGTCAAATTGGCGCAATCTACCAAACACGCACTTTTTAATTTCTGTGTTACCATCACCAGCCGCTACATTGTATTTTTTGGTTTTTCTTTCTCTAATATGATTAAGTAGTTGATACAAATCTTTTAGGCATCTTTTTTTCAGACACATACTTGTTGATAGAGTTTTTGTACTTAATTTTATCTGCACAACTTAATCGGTGTTTTTTTTTATCCCACAGTTTTAAATTCCATCTCCAGAAATTTCCATCTCTAAGTAAATTAGTGTAAATGGATGCACAGCTCCATGTTTTTTTTTTTTTTTTTTTTTTTTTTTTTTTTTTTTTTTTTTTTTTGTTTTTTTTTTTGTTTTTTTCATTTAAAATTTCCCCAGTCCAAATTCGAAATTATCATCTGCTGAGTCATCCATCTCTTGATAAAATGCTTTAAACTCAGTATCATTTTCTACATCATTTAAAAAGACATGCTAGTAATAGGCGCAAGGATTATTGAATACGATTATCTATGATTTACCTTTTGTTTCCTTGTTTTATGTCCTTTCAAGAAATTTTCACTCATATTGAGATACCTCCACTTGCATGTGGAGGACTGCAAATTTAGACCTGTGCTTTTGAGCAGTGAGAGATCGTTTTCGTGCCAGCACCTACTGCTTCTGCAGTTTATACGGTCTCATCCGAGGGATCGGTCTCCACATCCCACAGTGGGATTCAAACCCAGTTAACGCGTCGCGGTGATTCAGATTTGTTGCATTGTTAAAGTATGTCGACTGTTTAAAGTATGATAGCGAACACAAAGTGCCGGCAAAAAATTAAAACTTCATATAATTCAAACACTCATAAATAAGCCTTCGTACCCTAGGTATCAATTTATGTTTACACTTTTGAATTTATTAATTATCAGCTCTTAAATTATTAATTATTCGGAATTGATCAAAATTCGGAAGTGGTCAATCAACTGTATAACAAACAAGATTAAAATGCTTCTACCTGTCATGAGATATATGGTGAAGTGGTTGGCGTGTCAGCATCTTAAGAAAAACTGATACTCAGGATTTTTATTGCGCTTGGGTTCAAATCTTAAAAAAAAATAAATAAATAAATTTCTACCATAGAATAATTTCTGCTGACAGAATTTTTCCACGGAAAGTTTTGTTTGTCATTATGTTAGATTTTGCAAATTTAAAAAGTGGGATAGTCCATCAATGTAACTCAATAATGTGCGGATCAATTTTAAAAAAAAAAACCCAAACATTTTATGTACTCCAATATAACTCAATAATGTGCGGATCAATTTAAAAAAAAACATTTTATGTACTCCATCCACTTTAAAGGAATAATTTATGTAAATCTATATAAATATTTATTATACAAGGTCTTTTAAATGTACATACGGGGATTAACAGTTGCAACTATTGCAGAAGAATTACATTACCCGCCTATGCGGGCTATGCATTTTTCCGCAATGGTTGCAACCGTAAATTTACATAAAATTGATAATAAAACTTTGAACCCTTAGGTGATTTATTTGAGAATCTTGTAATCCACGGCTGATAAATGGGTTCTTCGCAAGATGGTTGAATGTTTGTTAAGGTATTCAATGTATAATGAAGGGATTTTGAACAATTTCGAATCATCTTAAACTAGTTAAAATTGCATTGCTAGATAACGATGAAAGTGAAATGAACCAAATTCACGTGACAGATAATATGTAAGAAGCCGGTCATTTTGCACCTTAAAAGTTTTTGAAGAGTTATCTTCCCTAGATGAAAAGAGGAAATTTTAATTGTTTCAAAATATGTATGGTGATTTATTTATTTTATTTCACATTGTAATAAAGAGAGAGTTTATTCATATATCTACCAAGAGATTTGTATGAAATTAAAATTACTTTTTACAATATCTTAACAACACATGCGCTGCCCATAGACTTCAATGTTAATTTCAAGGTACAATTAATTGTACAATAATTAAAATTTGATAAATTCCTTTGGTGGAGTATTTTTGTTTGATAACACCTTCAAAATGCTACCATGATAAAAAAATATTTGACCATTCATTTATTAGGTACAAAAAATGGTCGTTATACATTGTTAAACACAACCATATTTAAAATTTTATTGCAGTTGTCCAAAACGCTAATCAGTTAAAAGTAAGAAAAAAAGAACAAGACCCGTGTACAGGAACTGGACAGAAGAGGCAATGTTCAGCAGAATGGAGTGTCAATTCGGAAAGCCGCCGCGAAGTATCGGTTCCACTGACAACGTTAAATAACCGGAAAAATTCAAGAAGGGGCAAGGTGGGGTGGTGCCCCTTTATTGTCACAGAAAGATGAGGAAGGGCCCTTGGAGATTGCGAAGAAGAGAGCCGAACCGGGTGTAGGATATTTGAAGCCCAACTTTTTAAGATGCGCATCTGAACTGGCGAAAAGATGAGGGAAAGAATTGAAGCGTCCAGTGCCGTCAGAGATGTGGTGGAGGCGACTAAAGCTACGCCACCCAGAGTTTACGCTAAGAACACCTGCATCTACCAGCGTTCTCCGTCATAAGGGAATGACAAAAGAAAGAATCAATAAATTCTTTTCTACTTTGCGTGAAGTTTACTCAAAACATCAACTTTACAACAAACCGATGTCCATCCGGAATATGGATGAGACAGATATAACGATGTCTCACAAACCTGGAAAAGTTATTGCTCAAAAGGGCGCCAAGACAATTCATGGAAAAGCAGGGTCCCGAGAAATGGTAACTGTTATAGCCTGTGCTAATACAAGTGGAACCACAATTCCACCCCATTTCATAATGCCAGGGAAAACTAAACGGGCTCTACAAGGATATGGAATAGAAAATATTCCAAAGGAGTTTGTACTAAAAGATGCAAAATTTTCAGTATCTGAGAGTGGTTTAGACAAAGGATGGCATTGCCCGTCTCTGGTTTGAGCAGACGTTTTGGCCAAAGATTGGAAACGAAAGACCACAGTTACTTATATGCAATGGGCATGGGTCTCATAACAACATTGAATTCATAGAGATAGCACGATCCAACAACATTGTGGTGATAGAGCTACCAAGCCACACCAGCAATTGGACACAGTCATTAGACCGTTCCTTCTTTAAGTCTTTGAAATCTGCATGGAACAAAGAAGTAGATTCATTTATCAGCACAACTGGAGTTGCTGTAGGACACATCCAGTTTCTAAAGGTATTTGAGAAGACTTGGTCTGCATCTACAAAGAAATCCAATGTAGTGTCTGGATTCAAAGCGACAGGAATATTTTCTTTAGATCCGAACATGATTCCGGCGGAGGCTTTCCTTCCATCAGTATTACACACAGATGAGCATGTCACCCATACCAAAGGTCCATCTTCTTGTAACCCTGGTGAGACAATCACCATCGCTCAAACACCAGACTTAATTCCATCGCCATCTGTAGATGATACAGACACACCGGCTGTAGCAGACACAGCTCCTGATGTAAGTGACCACACCCTAATGGAGTCTAACAACACCAATGCTACCGTTAGACCCAATGATGGATGCAAGTTCAGATGAAAGCTTTTCTGCAAGTTTTGAAACAATCAATAATATATTGTTGACCGTGCCCATACAGGAATCTGTTACAGATTTGACATTGATGATACGTTCTGAAGCCTCGAGTTAACAGGAATTTCGTCTGGCTTAGAAACTAGTATTGAGGAACATGTGGAAGATCTTGGAAGGAGCAGTGGCTCTGCTTCCGTAGCTGATATTTTTACCATCCCAAAGGTTATAAAGGATTCTAAGAAACGAAAGCAGAAAACGGAACGTCAGTATTTCGTAATAACCTCAAATGAGGCTTTTGAAGAAAGAAAAAAGAAGGAAGATAAAAAGAGAGAAGCAAAACAAATTAAAGAAGAAAAAAGAATTCAGAGAGAAAATATGAAAAAAATGAATGCAGCAGAAAAGGAGAAAAAAATGAAAGAGAAAATGTTGAGGAAAAAAAGCTTAAGGTCAGACGACACGTTCCTCAAAAATATATAATTTTTCCCAAGAATTTCTCATTGACGTATAGCTACTTAAACAAGTTTCCTCACCAAAAATTGAGGTACCTTACCAGGCATTTGGGCAAGATACCAAAGGATGATAATCCTGATGGGTAATCTTTTGAATTGCCAGTGTCACAATTTTTGGTGTACTTATATTTTTAAAACATATTGAAAACAATTTTTAAATCACAAGAGAATGACAATATGAATAATTTTTTTTTTATAGAACTCTTTTTTTTTAGAAACGTGTCGTCTGACCTTAAATAACGCAAATGATAAAATTGGAATTTGTTTGCAAGTGTTTGATTATATTTGAGTAAAAGAATGAATACTTGATTGAACATGTTGAATTATACAATCGTCATTTATTTCACGCACAATAAATGCGCAATGCTCCTTAAGTTGAAAGTAAAAGAAATATAGCTTACTTAATAAAATCACTTATAATGACCTATATTCAAAGAAGCAAAGAGCTTGTTAAAATAAGAAACTGTCACCAGCATTAAAATTGGATAAAAACTATATTGCCGAGGAATTTTATTATTAAAAAGAAAAGCATTTACCTGATATCATCCAGACAATTCTTTTTTTAATAATTTTGTTCAATACATCTGGTTATATATGATACATATGGACCAGGCCTGTAGGAAGCCATTTCAGTTGGGGGGGGGGGGGGCACAACCGTACATTTTCAGTTGGGGGGGACTATCAACTACGGAAAATTCCTTGTCATGCAAAAAAAAGTCATCAGACAATTTTATTGAGGACGCACAAGCAAATAGTAGCTATGTTTTCTATATATCGACAAAATTATTGGGGAGGGGGGGGGAGGGCACAGCCCCCCCCCCCCCGTTTCCTACGGCCATGTGGACCAATAACTCTATCTGACTTGCACATAAGAGGAGTTTGGTGTTATCAGTATGTACTATCTGCATTGGCTTGGGAAACTGTTTATTAAATTCTGGAATTCTCGACCATTCCTAAACCAGAGCAATTTCAAGTTCGCACAAAGCTGTTCGGTTTATTTTGCCATCGTAAAATTTGTTTCTGCATGGACTACGGAGTATGTCCCGTGCATGCTATATTGGATTAAGTTCAGTGATTTTGTTGGCCATTCCCAGGTTACTGCTGGATCACGGTGGGGTCCCTATGGCATTTCATGTCATCCCAATGGCGACAGCATCCGAAAAGATATAGTTGCAAAGATTTGTTCTCTGTTACGAAATAAGTTGCATGTGCGGATCTAAAGGGAGGGGGAGTCCGGACCCCCTGGAATGTGCAAAGTAATTAAAAGTATATACAGAAGCAAATAAAAATGACTTTGGGCCCCCCTAGAAAACTTGGGCCCCACAATCACCACCAGGAATAGGTGTTTTTCATGTTGGAAAATGTATTTTTTTTCCCTTTGACTTGTCAAGAAATTTTCTGGGTTTAATACGTTTGGGAAGGGAATATTTTTCCTTCTTTTGCTTGTCAGGAAACTTTTGGGTTGGAAATTTTTTTGAATGGGTTATACCCCCCCCCCCCCCCCCCCCGAAAAAAAAATCCTGGATCCGCGCCCGAGTTTGCAACTTCACTTTTCTTTTATCAATTTTTTTGGGATGCATGTTTGATATCCATTAATGATTCGAATTATACGTTACGGTTTGCAATGTATATCATGCAGTTGATGAAATGATACTAACATATCATTCATGGATTTTAATAAAGTAATCATCTACAAATGCTGCATTTACCATTAGTGGATTTCACACATCAGCAGCACAACAAGTTACTACAATGATCTTCTGCAATTTTCGTTGGAGTTGATCAGTTGTTTTCAACAAAAATCAAATCATGAAAAGATAGAGTTTAGAACAAGAGGCTCATAGTTCACAACTCTCACCCGAGTCATCTTGGCATTGCTGTTCTTCACAGCATTTACCCCACCCTATCCTCGTGGGCATCATTTGAACAAATTTTGAAAATACTTGTGAATGTCAACAACTAAAGTTGGCATTCTTGGTACTGCAGCACAGTCTCAATGTGTGAATGCTGCAAAGACTTGTTTATACACATACTCTCGAATATGAAGCATGCATTAAAAATCAAAGCTTAAACGTTCTCAACATTTTATTGTCAGTTTCTTTCAGCACAACATTTTTTTTCTTGAGTAATTGTCAAATCCCCATTTGTGACTTTCCACTCTCTTGCATAAGATACATATTTTTTTTTTTATACATGTTAAAATGAGATGATGGCTGAATCTTTATGTCACACATGTAGAAATCAGGAACCTCCTACATGCTGAGTAGACATTAGTATATCTATCTCTACATTACTCTGTAATATCTACATACTGACTTCAGTCCTGACATGTAAATTTGAAAATTGCAACTTGATACCCCAAAACAGCATTTCACAAATGAACTTGTTTCAATTTGAACAAATGATTTAAAAAATTCTAACAATGAACATGAAATTAAATCAGTGGTAAATGAACTGAAGTAATTACCACAGATAACAAAAAGCCACACCAGAATCTGAGAGAGCCACAAGTGATATGTCACTCTCTGTAGTGCAACATATGACATTCAAAATACAAACAAATCTATTCACAACAATAGTCAATGATTCTTTTGGAATGCAGATGGTATAGCTTCAACCAATATCAACTTTTTTCTTTTACATTTTATATAGGAATTCTCCATCACTCACCTATGGCTACAAAACCCCCTAATCTGATGACCATGACAATGAAACACTTTTTTTTCAAGGGGGGTGGGGGGTGGGGGTTAACATTAGGTTTTCTTTAAAAAAAAAGTTCACAGGTCTTAAAATAAAATACCTCAAATAAATATTTTTTTTTTATCTCCCATACTGAACTTGTTTTCAATATTTCTTTCAATGGAAATCTAATTAGAAAATTTTAACTGTGTAAAATGTAAAAATTAACTCTTGAAAATGTTTCCAGAAACTTGCGTAAGCAAAACTTCATATATTTCCAAAATTTACAAAAAGTAAATTGAACTCAAAAGTTACATTTTCTCACTTTTTCAGCAATTTATGTTGAGTAATAATTGGCCAAAAATAAAATTGTTTGACTGAACAGATATTACTTCTTAAGTGAGAGAGGCACCTACACATGTATCTAAGCAAAGATGCATGTATTTGAATTTTGGAAGAAAAACAGATTTTTTGTGTTAATATTTATCCTTATTTATATATTTATCCTTATTTAAATATTTAAGTATAATATACTTTGCCTGAAGTTAAAATGATTAAATCATTTTTTTTTTTTTTTTACTTTTTTGAAATTCTTTTTCAAAAGGAAAATGGATTGGAAAGCATGTACGATTGTCTATGTCAAAGCTTTTCCTTCCAATTCTTTATCATTTTTCATGAAGTTTGTATATTAATGTCAAAGTCATACACAGTAAACAATTCAAATAGTGACTATTTTTTCTTCTTTAAATTTTTTTAATCCCAATGATGAGTTAATTCTGGCCAATGTACATCAAGAAACTAAAAAAATAAAATGGTGATTGTCTTTTCCTGTTTTGATATATCCGGCAAAATGGTACATTGGTAACCAACTTTTAAATTGTCTACCTTAATATAAATATCATTTCTTTCCATTTCTACTTATAGGGCAACTCTTTAGAAATATTCTGCTTGGTTTTCTTGAAGCTAGTCCAATGTTCTTGAGAAAAATGAAAAAAAAAATATAAAAGAACAGACAAGAATTTGATCAGAAAAGCTCAAACAAGCAGCGTCAACATAGATATTCATATGATTTGAAGTCCATTGCATTAAAAGTTAAATCAGTGTGTAAATTTTCACAAAGACATATTTTGTATTTGGATAATTATCCAGTCACCTTATGCACACCGATATTTAATGAAGTGATAAAAAAGTTGTCTGGCAAATATTTTCAACAATGACTCTACAAGTGTTCATATGTATTTGTCTGTGTGATAGAGATGCCCTGCCAAAATATATCTGATAAAATACTGGACTGCATACAAATTAAAAAATACTTATTTTGACCAAGAGGGGACACACAATGACAACCCTTGTATTTATCTCTATGTAACAAACATTCACACAACATATTTACAAAATCTTCAACGTACTGAGATCAAATATTACTTGATTAATGTTTGGACGATGGTGTTCAAATTAGCAGAAGCACTTGCTATAAAACAGGCTACAGAATATTAACAATTACTCCAGTGTGACAGTAACATACACAAAATTCTCTAAATCAGTACTGAAGATTATCAAATACAATATATTGATGTGTAGTCCCATGAGAAGCATTTATGTTGCATAAGGAAATCCAGTCTCATCAGCACTTTGTATTCTGGGAGTAAAATATTGAATTAAAGCACATTTTCATGATTTTTATCTTGAGAACTCAGCAGGCCATTTCATTCAATTGAGCTAAAAACATGAACTATCTATAACTATACTAATCGTAATTTATATCACAGCATTTGTCACATGTAAACGGCCAATCCGCCTCAAGTCTCATTCAATCAAACCAAGGTAAACTGACAAATCATCCAATCAAAATAAGGTTAACTGACAAATCATCCAATCAAAATAAAGTTAACTGACAAATCATCCAATCAAACACATGTTAACAAGATCTGTCTGACAGTCATTGTTAATTGGCAAACTATGAACCAAGAAGTCTTTTACATCTTCATATATCCATCTCTCAATCAGCACAAAATGTTTAATCTTGATAAAATGTTTCAACACATGTAATGGACCAGACAAATTAATTAACAAATACATTTCTTTCCCTCAATCTTTCAAACAATATCATTGCCATTTTTTCAAATCATATTACAACAAAATTTAACACAATTAACATCATGTTCTCTGATAGGGTCAAGGAGGTAGAGAGATGTAGGTATACAGAGGCTCTGTAGACCCTACACAATGATCTACAATGCCCAGTGTATTGCTCATACAATACTACACAGTCTTTCAAGAATTTTTACAGACACAACAATTCTCCAAATAATTTTTCCTCATTAATCAAAGTATGGACTAAAATACATTTTTCAAGCAATATGTTCTTAAAAATAATTAGAAGGAAATCATATGATATGGAAAGGAAAAAAAAAATTACTTTGAATATTTGTCCCCAGTTTAAAGATTTTTTGTTGTTGTTATGAATAAAGCATGGTTACAAATGAGTATATTTTAACTGAATTTATGTAAAGAGTTGCTACGACAACTGCCAATACAATCACAGATATATCTGTTTATTTTTTTCAGAGCTATTTTTGTCTTGGTAACTATAGTAACCAACACAAGACTCAAGGTCATCACATGAAACTCCCTGGATCCAAATAATGCCCCAAAATTTTACATGCCACTTCTGGAGTTGAACAATGAAATAACTCCAGATCAATAAATCAGCACATGACAGGTCTCTGCCTTTGGTTGATTCACTGTTTTCTGGCAGGGATCTAACTCTTCACTGTGTTCTCTATTTCATACAGCATTGACAAAGGGCATGGATCCTGATTTATGATGGTATCATTTAATGACAATCCTTTCTGAAGTGTTCAGTCCTCATCAGGATTTTCTGTTGACGAAATCACCTACAATGGCAAAACACAATGTAATAATGAAGTTAATAGACCCTATGTGTATCCATAAAATTCCTTTGAATATAAATTTAAACATCCCTCTAAAAAATATTTTCAAATATATATTCCTATAACATCTTCGCTAGCCAAGGGTTTCTGATACGCTACTCTCCTCATAAACCCTTGGCATACGGTGCTGACAAAAGACGGGATTGTTTTTGTCACGTGATCACAATTCTTACCAGGTACGCACACAGATTGCGTCATCGACAGAAATAAAAAGCGTATTTAAAAAAAAAATGTTTTTAAAGGAATAATTAACAAGAAGGTATTGAGTTATGTTAATTTGTTATTTAAACATGTTAAAATGCAAATCTAGATCTTCAGTATTGATTCTTCATCACATATTTGCACGTAGCTTAAGATATTGGATGACACCATATAGCTATTCATAGAATGGCATGTTATCTTACGGATTGTTGTTTACTTGCGTTTTTCATTCACCTAATCAAAGAGTCAAGATATATCCCGAACGCAAATATCGTCATTTACAAAAAAACAACTGCTGATTGGTCGAACGATGTCGATCAACTCCAATCACAACTTGAGAAAAAAATCCCAACTTTTCTTAACACCGTATGCCAAGGGCTTATGAGGAGAGTAGCGTATCAGAAACCCTTGGCTAGCGAAGATGATTCCTATAAGTGCTATTTCATAACATATTTATCATATACAGTAGAACTTGTCCAATCCGGGTGCTGTGAAATCTGAAATCATGCCTAATACGATGTTCCAACTAAGTCCATTACAGTAAATTCAATTGTTGAAAATATTGTATTCTGGAATGTTGTCTAATCCAGCCAAGTTGTTTGGAAGGAGTGGTTTCCGGATGAGACAAGTTTCACTATACATCTTTATTAAATATATTTACATTATATATATATTTATATTACATATCTATATAAATTACAAGATGTGTTTGTGAAACACTATGTAACACAATTCTGGAGTGGAACATACACTACAGTGCAATAATTATGGCCAATGTTAAAGTTTTTCAATAGCTCAAAGGTCACAGTTGAGGTCACATGATCAAAAATTTCTGTACCAATGGAAAGGTCCTGTCATAATGAACATTCATGTCAAATATTAAAGCCTTACCCTTGACAGCACAATAGTTATGGGCTAGGTTAAAGTTGACAACAGACAGACAGGACAAAAACAATATACCCCGGGGATCTTTTGATCCGGGGGCATAATAAACTATGGCAAGAGATTTTCACTTTATATGATTATGTAGTACAGAAAAATTTAATAAAGCATACATATGACTAAAAATTTTAGTAAAGTTTTGATACTGTATTAATTGTTTTACTTTTATCTAATAATTATAAAGTCAACATTCCTCTCAATCCTATTTTTAAAATAAATTGGAGACTTTTGAAGGATTATTTTGCCAGATCAACTAGGAAAAAGTATTGCTTTTACCAAAAGGTTTCAAAACTAGGAAGTTCAAGATATCGGACAGAGAGACTACTCCAAACATTTTCTTTTCGTCATCCACCACGATCAACCGATGAACCTGTGGAAACATATCATACAATTCACAAATGGCCCAAAATCAAAGTTAATTCATTACTGCTTAAACTTGGCATATGATCTGATCAAACTTAAATCTGTGCTACATTCGGCTGCATTCACACATTTTGCCTTTTCTGGACCATCAATTCATGAGAGGTTTTACACAACAGCAACCTATTTCTTAATTTTTCCTCTTGCAATAAGGTGTGGTCATTCAATTTAACAAATATGAATACCATTAACTCAAGAATGCTTTGAGACAAATTGGCTTAAAAGGCCCAAAGTTCTGAGGAGAAAAATGAAAATGTGGAAAGTGACTTGTGTATAAAGTAGAAGCAGAAATATTTGCTGGGGATTAAATTTTGTTTATTTCATTGTTAACAGTTATAAACGACATTTCATCCTACACGAAAATTTTAAAGGGCTATATTGAACATGGTTACTTTTGAAACAACGAAATTAAATCCCCATGAAACCATTTAAAATCACAGATCTACGAAATTTTATCCCCACGAAAATATCTGTTTCTACAGTATATACATACACTGGAAAACTTGGATCATAAGAATAAGAGACTCTAGCTCAGCTGAGCTAAAAATTATTAAGATCCACCTAAATTATCATTTATAAGTCATATTTCTAAAAATTCAACTTCAAGAGAGACTAAAATTGGCTGACCATTAAAAACAAAGCTACATTTCAGCTATTTGTGCTTAAATCTATGCTACAACATTTCATGTGTGCTAGTATTTCAGACTTCATGAGAAATATAGCAAAGAAATAATCTTGCAGCCTGCAGACACTAACTACATTTTTATAAGATATAATTAGATAAATTCCCATCAATATATTATTTTTTTTTTAATTACAGAAGTTTTTAGTGCCAGTCTAGTCAGGAAGTGTTAAACCAGATAATATTGTCTTCAGAAACACTCTTATATAAATCATGGATGTTAAAAACACATTTATCCAAGGATTTTTTTTTTGTATAACAATATTTAATGATTGCAGTAGTTTACCTCTGCCTTGACAATTTTCTCCATCACCACTTCTAAGGTATCGTCCTTTTTACATGTCACAACTCCCTCAAACCATCCTTCCTATATAGGAAAATGTCAGCATTATAAAAAGCCACAAAAAAACCACACTGTTATATACACAAGTTAACTCAGTCTTATTTCTACTTGCATCAACACTTCTTAAACTGAATGTTTTAATACGTTTTTCCCCCTAAAGAACAACGAAGTTTTTAATTTTGCTACACTGAAAAATCTATACAATTACTGTTATAAGTGCTAGATTCTTTGTTTAAGAGTTATCACCATTCTTAATTAACACATACAGTTAATTAAGAATGGTGATAACTCTTAAAGCACTCAGTGATATTATTCATATTCTTTGATCATTGATTGGGTAATACCTGGGTTCTGTGCTGTAGGGCCTGTTGTATGGTAATGTCAAGGTCATTATAGGTCTTCTCTGCTGCTAAATTCTGAAAAAAGTTGTTGTAAATCACTGTATAATACACATCTGAAATGATACTTCAGAATCAAACTCTGATGAGACTGTAGCCCTACTGGTTTGTATTTGTTACCAAGAAAGGGAGAATTAGTACTTTGCTATGAAAGTATGACAATCAATAAATAGAGTTATGATCCCTGGTTAAAATTAAAAATTAATAAAAAGTACTGTGTATCTTAGCATAGTCTACATGTGTACCAAATTTAACTGAAACTGGAAAACTGTAGGAGAAATAGCAATTTAAAAACAAAAATTATAGACAAACAGCTAGACATATGAAGGACACCTTACTATATATTGTATAAGCTCTCAGTACAGTGCAATTACTTAAAGAAACTCCAAAGCTTCCGGAAGTGGGTATCTAAAAGCATTTTGTAAGACCTGTGCCTTAAACCTTTCAAGAAATTCCCCTTATTTTCTCTATCCCCTTTCGATTATTTTTGACACAAACTTACATGTATCTTTCCTCTCATCTAAGATCTTGATCACTTATCATCAACGATACACTACTTCAGATTTTAATATACTGTATTAGCGGAAATTTTAACGAGACAAAAATTAAACGATTTGTCCTGAAAAATCAGTATTTATTCTAGCGAGAAGTAATTTTAGCAATTTTGTGAGGCATAGAAAAATAATGGTAACCTCTCACGAGGAGTGAATTGTTAGCGATATTTAATTTTAGCAGTCTCAACAACCTCGCTAAAAATGCCAAAATTAATTCCTCGCTAATATTTCTGCTTATACTGTATTGAGCCAAAAAATAGCCTCCCTTGCTAGAGTTGTATTTTTTCCTGATGTAGATAGAGCATACTTACGATGACATCAAACTTGGCGTAGATGTTAATGACTTTGCCCTCCTCATCACAGATAGGCAGAGCTGAGATGTGATGATCCACAAACAAGTTCAGGGCTTTGATGATTGGAGTGTTAGGTGTAGCCTACAAAACACCAAAGTATCAAACTGATGAATAAATGCTATAAAGTCACAACTTTTCTCAGAAGTCTGTGAGGTTCAGATATTAGTTTTGTCCAGAACTTGATATATATATATATATATACACACATATATACAAGCAATTAAGTCTGCTATATTTCCTCACTTACAAAGAACCACAAGCAAGATTTTTTTCTAAGCAAGAGGCAATGTTTGAGGCTCTATTAGTATTTTGTAAATCTTTTATTTATGAAGCTATTTTGATGATTACCTTCACCAAGTTCTCATAAGTTCCTATGGACAGCTCCTCCAAACTTTGTCTCATGTAGCTGGGTTTTGGCAATTCATTGATCTGGAGAGGGAACAAATCTCAAAATAACATACCATTTGTACCTATCAATCACTTTAAACATTATCTAAAGTTGTTGGCTATTCGATAGTTATGGAACTTTTATAGACATGGATATAAAGATGGGATAAAAATTTCACAGTATACAGCAAAAGATAAATATTTATTTCTAAATTTTTATGCAACTTTGGCAAATTTTGGGAATGATTTATATCACTGTTAATCAGAGTTGATGAGTGGAGTTACCTTCCTTTGTATATACTCACATAGATATAGAGGAACCTGAGAATTCGTTTGTGAGTGAGGACGTAGAGGGCATTGCCAGTCAAGCGGTCCACGACAGGAAGTCTGTGAACTTTACATGTGATCAGTGTTTTAATGGCTTGGTAAAGATTGGCGTCAGGCTCGATGCACACAAACGGCCTCTGTTTGTCCCGTAACTCTTCCCTCCACGTCTGAATTTTGTGATTTTCTAACTCGTCCATTTTTATCAGAGGTGATTTGTAGTACTTATGTAGGATATTTATAAAGTCTGTGATGGTTAACATGCCTACATAGTCCTGTTTAGTGGTATCCCACAGTGGAGCCGCCCGCACCCCATTATAAACTAATGCAAAGAATGCCTTCTTCACCTGCAAATATACATATAGAGTTAATTTTTACCATACACTCACACTGACAAGTTCTCATTTTAAAGTGCTGTAAATCTAAAATGCTAAATGAGTGCTTCTAAATTTACAGTGCTGTAAATCTTCAAATGCTTTATGGGTGCTTCTCAATTTACAGTGCTGTAAATCTTCAAATGCTGCATATATGCTTAGGAGTCAGTCTGTTGTAATTCATTAAACAGTCAAATAAGGAAAACAGATGGCATCTGAATTTGTTTCACTGGCACATGCAAGATGTCCCATATAATACAAGAATGACACTTCAAGTATGACTGGCTACAAAACAACCACCCTATATTTATATGGAGATATTTTTAAAAGAGAATTTATAGATCTTACAAATTTAGATCATTCAAGGCAACATCCAGATAATATATATTGCACCACAACAGAAACCCCTTTTAATTTTGTTCTGAAGAATGCTTTTTTACTTCCTTTGCAGAAATCTTGTACATGAGCCAAATACATACACAAATATACACAAAAGTAATTGGAAAATGATTTAATATAATCATGGAAATCATTGAGTGTGGTAGAAAGGCTGACACACATTCTCCAACATTGATTAGACATAAAAATTCATCAGCTCCCCGATTTTATCGACTGTGTCAAGGATGTAACAAATTGGCTAAAGTCCAGGGGCTTTCTATGTATATAAAGGTAAATTCTACCTCATGAATATTCTACATAGATATTGAAGATATTTAAACACCCATTTTGTTAAAAGATCAAGGACACTTTGGAATGTAAAATGAATACATGAACCATTTTTGAAATGACTACCTCGTTTCAATTTTCAGATGTTTTTCACATTTGAAGGTATGAATGCATGCATTCTTGCACGCAGCTCTTTCTTTAGTTCAATTTTTGTTCTGTGTTTATCAAGTCTACATGATTTACTCAAGCAACGCCTGACCACTCCTCTCACATCAATCGGTAATAAACCATTTACTTACAAAGCTGTACTTTATTTTACACAATAAGCATGCTAACGACAATTTTGATATTCAAACTTCCTCAAAAAGACAGGAGAGGTGACACTGCAGGTAAAAAATAACCCACTGTAGATCTACACAGGTACACGTGTAATGCACTTTTACCAGCGCCTACCGTCTAGGCAGGAAAAGCATTTCCATTAATTAAAAACTTATCTAAATAGTGTGGTTTAATTTACATAAACACACCCATTCACTCTTGTTAAAGACTGTAAAGACAATTAAAGGCTGTGTTCTCAAAAAGTCCATTTCTGAGAATACAGTGAAAAACAAATACAGCAATTAAGTCACAGAATTCGTGATGTATTTGGAATCTCTTTTATAAATTTGTAGTTTGAGATACATATTAAGCCTGACTGAATTAATCCACTGGTATATATACAATGTCAAAAATTATCCATTTACATACTTCATATTACCATGAATTTTTTCTACCTTGCCTTTTTTTCATATCAAAAAGGTGAATAATGGTGTTATGTAACCACAGAGTTTGATCCATCTTCTCTGTAAAATGCATACTTACATTTAACTGGGTGTCAAATATTACTAATTTGGCACTGGTTGGAATTAAGTCATAACATTTGTGTGCTCGCATAAATTTTGCAAATGCTTGGTCAATGTTCTCATCTACAAAACAAAAACATTTCAAATATCAATCCAAACATGTTAATAGTTCTATATTGTTTAATTAATATGCTTATAATAGATTGATGACCTAAACCCTCAATCATGCGATTTTTGCTCCTGTTATAGGGACAGAGTTTTCCCTAAGAACAGGCTACCAACCAAATTGACTGCTTCAATTGATAAAAATGCCCTTAGAAATCAAAATTTTTAAAAAATAATTGTTGTTATAGGTCCTTAATTGATCTCTAACCCTTTACTTTGAAATAAAGGGATTAAACACGGAGGGATGAACAATTCTGAGGATCCTTCACATATAACGCTTTGTCGCTTTGTTTTGTAAAGTAACATTAAAAAAAAAAATTAAAAGCCCATATCCTTTAAACCTTTCTATAAAATTGTGGACAGTGGCCTTATAGGGACTTCATTTGAACAAATGCATAAAAGCTCATGCAGTTAATGGTTTTATTGTTTTTCCATGTATAACACTGTCCAGCACTGACCAAAGAAAAAAAAAAACTTTAAACTTCTAGAGGTACCTCCTATACCCATATATCAAAAGTTCTTGAAATAGCTATCAAATGAATTTCATCACTTAGAAACATGCATTCCTATGGATTTTTCTACAGATTCAAAGGCAAATCTCTGGCTCCATCTCTGTCTTAGGGACAACAGCTAAAACTTGAATACACTATGATCAACATCTCCTTGCTTGCAGATTTTCATATGAATTAAAAGTTCATTTTGCAAAAACTTCAAATTGTTAAAAACATTTTTACCTACAATTAAAATTTGTGCCTCTATAGCTTTAGAACTTGCAGTATAACCTCTAAAGATACTAATGAAAATTGATACTGAAATAAATCTTGCCATTTGCTGTACTTTTTTTTAAAAAGAGAATTTTCTTTTCTTGGAAATTTGCACCTTTCTACCATAAACAAAATTAGAGAGGTTCCAAAGTTGACAGCTCACATTGGCCCAATACATAAGCACTTCCTTAGCCAGGTTACCAGTAATTCTAAAACTCCAACTTGGAAACAGAAACTTTGAAAACCAATTTTAATTATGTTACACAAAACTTTGAAGAGAATAATCCAGTAACTCAAATGCTTCTACAAGTCAAACAGCTTTGTTCTGGACTGAGCCACAAGAAGGTATCCTAGCTGCAAGCTGCTTCAATTATACAGCATATTCACATGGGGGTTGAAGGTCATTATTCTGCCTTATAAGACCTCTACTATAAGACCTTTACCTGTATTCTGGATACTGTTTAGTACTAACTTGTGTACTTGTAACTGTGTTATACATCTGAATCAGTAGTGACATTTCATTTCAGAAGACACAATCAAGAAAAGGACTCTTTTAAAAAGAAAAGAAAATTTTAGTTATGTCTACTCTGGGGGTGGGGGTTATAAAGTTACTGATAACGATTTAATGTCAGTCTAATGTCACAGAAAATGTCTAGTTTGAAGCTTGTTTGAGCAGTTGATGCTTACCTAAATCCTCTATCTCCATGTTAGACATCTCAGGAAGATCTCCCTCCAGATTGAACTGAAAGTAAAAAACAGAGGCTCATGAGCTACAATGCTCCTCTGAATCACATTTCTCTGACAAATACATATATTGTTAAATGACATCCTGTATGTGGCAATAAACATCAAATTTACAGTTTCAATGATTCTAATTATCAGAATCATGAAAATTAATACATACAGACCAAGTTCAAGCTCACATATTGCAAATGAAAGTTGTAAAAATAATATTTGGTTCAATTATTTATAAAAATATCACTTATCTAACTTAAAATCTATCATTTCTTTCTGGTTACATGGACTTTTCTGTCCCCAATAGTTTTTGAGATAAAATGATTATACACCCAATTGTTATCTCCTTATGTCCTTATTAACAGTAAGTACCATGCATTTTACTATTTCACCAATTCTACAACATATATGATCACCATTCAGAAATTGACAATTATGAAAATATTTGACAACAAACTGGTGGACAAGGTAAAGTCCACAGAAACGGCAAAGGACTGCGTCTCTAAAGAGGCTAGGTCATCATAACCTACTCAATGCCCCAAGATACATCAGCTGACCAACTTATTCTACGCCTAACAGTGTAGAAATTTTTTTTCTAGAAAGACATAAGTTAATTTGCATATATGTACACCCAAAAGGAAACCTCATATAGCTGAATGGATAATGCTATTCATAATATTGAAACCTTAAAAAAAGAAAATGAGCATGTAAAACGAAGTTGAACCTCAATCAACATCTACCAGTGCTTGTTGAATTAAAAAGTACATCCATGTGACTTTATTTCCAAAATTAACAGAATATATAACAAAGATTGCTTAGTCTGTATTCCACATTTTTTTTTCTATTCTTTTATAGAAGAAAATTCAGCATGTAAACAAAATACATTTTATGTCTGGGAAGCTTACCCGTACTGGAGGGTCGGAGGATTTGTAGATGATGGCATGTGTGTGATCATTGGTTAGAGATGAGGGACCCTTCATGAGGGGAGGGGCTGACTTTGGTTCATTCGCATTTGAATTTTTCCTTGGAGATACTGCAAAATTAAAAAGAAAACCTTAAAAAACAAAACATTTAAATCACATACTTCACTTGATTAACAGAGACATGGAAAAAGAAAAAAAACATACATAAATGCTTAACTTATTGTTCATGGAATGATGTCTAACAATTTGACTGGCACCATACAAAGAGAATAAATCAAAACAATTCATTTTCTTAATGTCAACAGACACACAAGCCCATTCAATCAATGTTCAACATTTATAAGGTGTATGCTTTTTCTGTACAGCTATTTACTTGAGAGAGTTGATGACACGATAAATCGGGATACCCCTAGAGATAAGAACCAGTGATAGCTATAAATCATAATTTTGCCGCGAGTTTAATTGTTCATCTAAAAATATATTGAGCAGTACATTAGACCCCTATTAAAGTATTCTTTTTAGATACACAAAGAAACACAGCAGACTTAAAATGTATATTGATTTCCCCCCTAAAGTTAATTGAATACACAACAAATACACTTTTCAATAGCCATAAAAGCTTTCTTTAGGTTGGAGGTAAAAATTGATTTTCTTAATAACATTAACACAATTGACAGAGGCAAGCAACTTCTTTCAGCTAATTTACACTTGCATTGCCCTCAATTTTGACTCAACTACTAAACCATATATATATAGTATAATTATGCATGCATGCATATATATATATATATATATATATATATATATATATATTCATGTGCACACCAGACTGTCTCCTACTTTTTCCTGCTTAATTACTGGGGCTATAATATATATAATCATTATCGTTAAAGGAAGGGTGACCATCATCAACTGTTTCTGCCAAGTTCTGAACAACTGTTTTTATGAACATATTTTATTATGCAAAATACATAATTAAAAATTAAAAATGTCTGAGTGAAGGAAAGTCTTTGTATATAATGACATTTTTTCTCCTACAACTTTTGACAGGAAGCAGAACTTAAATAAAATAGAGAGAGAACACCTTGCCTATCTCAATATATACCGTTAAAGGAATCGACAGATTTTAATATTCCAAGTTGTCACACTGCATGTATACATAAATTATCATTCTTAATTGTATGAATAAAAGCTAAGTGGTTTTATACTGATTTCATTAAATAACATCTTCAGAATGAAATTATTAAAATAAGACATATTTTAAATATTTGCTCATTAACTGATACTTGCAACCCAGATGCCCCCCCCCCCCCCCCCCAAATCCTCTGCACTACTGCATATTTCTAGGTCATTCTCGGTCATCAAGTGATGCACTAAACCATACAAAAATTCATGATTCGTTATGTTAAATTCAGAACATCTTAAAAACACAACAAAGCCAAACAAAACAAAAATAAATAAAATTTAAACACAAATCCTTCTGGTCGTGCCTGTAAATTCGAACATTTAAAGGTAAAAGATAACTTTATACCCAATTCATTAGGAATTTAAAGATGTCAAGTCAAAAAAGGTTGTAAATTACATAACTTCCATGCCCTCCCCCTTTCAAGCTACCCAAAACCATTTTGGCCTGGTTTTTTTCAGCCTTATAAGTATACCATTTTTGGACTGTTATCTTGGCTAACCTATTTTGGGCACACCATTACTGGACTGAAATCTCTAGCTAACCCTCTTTGTACACATTACACTAAAACCTAGTTTACCCACTTGTGTGTATAAATGTATTGACTGTTGATCCAAATGCCTACATCTAACCCAATCTGTTTCTGCAAAATTAATCACAATTTATGCAACAATCAAACAGCAGCTGTTTACATCAGGTTTTATTTTTTCCGAGTCAAGGTCAGGTCAGGTGATTTTCTTCAGCTTTTAGAGCCGCTTTCATGTCAGCATGCAAGTCTTCAATATATCCAAACAGTGAACAATAAACATGTCAGCTACTTAACTATTACATTAAACTTTTAAATCTGTTTGTTTTAATGCATAAATATACATTTTCAGTCCATATTAATTAAAATTCACAAATGCATCATTCAACCAAGAGTCTATTTCTTTTCAATTGTGCAAATGTAACTGTGTCATTATGTTGCTATAATAGGAAACACAAGTCCTACTTCTGTAACCTACTTTTTGATGGCTTAAGAACATCATTTGTTACATAATCTCAAATCCCATCAACATAGTAGTGTATTTCATGTCTATGACTATTATCCTTAGTTAGCCCCGAGTTAAGACCATGTTAATACATTATTACTACATGCATTATAATCATTATTAATATTTTTATCTGGGCTCGAGATGATTAATTGATCTTGCTAGCATTTCTCTAATCAATTGATGTTGGTAATCAGGTTTTCTCCTGAAAACTTGGACTAGACCCAGAAAACAAGTGATAGACCATATGAATTTGAGGCAATAACAAAGCAAACATGAAGACATGCCATTGGTGTAGACCTATAGATTAGTATTCAGGTTTTCTGGACATATATTTTTATTTAAAAAAAATGAATAAATACAGAACAAGGAATTAGCTCATTCACTATCTGAAAGAACTTATGCAGCTGAACTAATATCACTTCAAAGCAAATATCTCTGAAATTATTTCTGCTTAATATCTCTTCTTGAAGTATACATGTTTAATATACATATTTAATTTTCATATCTGAAAAGAGGTCAAGAATTTTCCTTATTGCCCAATCATGCTTTGTAACATTATATATACACTCTTATGTGGCCTCTCTATAACAAACAGGATACATGACACATTTCTAACCCCCTTACACTAAACTTGTTACAGCACATGTAAAATATTCACACCATATAAATTTACATACAGTTGAACTTCGATATCTCAAACACTGTTATCTCCAATACCATGGATATGTCGAAGTGATTTGGATGTCCCAACCTCTTATTCTTTAAGCATTTTACCCCGGATATCTCAAATCATCGGATATCTCGAAGTTTTTTCTTGGTCCCATCAAGTTCGAGATAACAAGGTTTTACTGTATATGGGAATGACACATTTTAACCTGTCTGCTGCAAGTTCTATTCTCAATATCTGATGAGGTTTGTGCATTAATTAATTTGTAGTTAAGGACCCTCTATACACTAGAGGAAAATATTTTTTGGACATTGAGAAAATTATAGTGTGTAAAGGTGTAAGCATTTGAGCTTATCTATCACATTTTCAACATAGGGTGCCTTGCATTTACCCCCAGGAAAAATATTCAAAGACAATGAAGTACTGATGAACATAAATCACTGTTGTTTACTTAAGTGGGCAAAATACCTGCAAATGAAGTGTTCTATCTATTCATCTTGGCCTATTAAAGTGTTATGAATGCTTTATTTGATCACAAATTAAGTAATAAATTGTACATTTCAATTTATTTTATTCTTGATCAAAGGGCAGATCACTCTATATGCATAAAAATACAACAAAATCAGAACTCTCTAGTGTGCAGTGTATAGAGGGCTCTTAAGTTGCACACTGTATGACAAAAGAAACTCTTGGATACATCTTTGAGCATGAGATGATATATATACTATATAAATTCATTATACATTTGGAACTGCAAACTCTTTTCGAGATATCCCTGGTATTCCAAATATTTAAGTTCAAAATAGCAACGGTCAATCAAGTGTACATCTGATTATGTACAATCAAATAGCAGTTCCTCAAACACTGCAATACCTCAATGACTCATTTATTTTTCTCCATCACAAACATGTACAGTAATTAAGTCTCCCCAATTGTTGTGACAGTATCAAGCCATATTACCTCAGTATAAAATATCTGCAATATCTTAACTGTAAACTGATAACTTTTATTTCTGCAGCATGAGCACTGCTTCCCTTGTAGTTTAATGTTTCAGAAGAAAAGTTCATTTTCACAGTCTTGATATGAAAGTTATGTAAGTGCAGTTGTATGTGATAAAAGAAATTAGAAAATAATTGTCAATGAAGGGTCTAAGAAGTTGTTCAGGTACACTGCATTTCTGAGGAAACCAAAAAAACAGGGGGTTTTTGGTGAAAATAGTGTTCGATTTGAATACTTGATAGAGTTTTGTCTTAGTCAGAGCAGGAAGGAACTACAGTAACTATCCAGCCTCTCACAGTTATTATATAATTACTGGGAGCCTCCTAGCTATAAGTTTAATGACTTCATGTCTACTGCATTAAAAAAAAAGACTTTGGCTTTATTTATGAAATCTGATGATCATCTTCTTGAGTGGACCAATATCAGGTAGTAATTTTCAACTTTTTTTCCATCATCATTTAATTTTGTGTCTAGTTATCTGTACAGCGCCATGTGTTGCCATGTTGAATATCCTCTAGTAAACCTATCTGTAAAGTTTCAGAACACATGCTGTTGCTCACAATCACATGGTATGCTAATGCAAGAGAGGAATTAAGTTATGTTATGTAATTACCTAAACCAAGTAAATCACATAACAATTTTCATTTTAAACATTTATTTTTATTATTTAATTGTTGAATTTTTTCTTCAAAAATCAAAGGCTAAAGTATATATATATATATATATATATATATATATATATATATATATATATATATATATATATATATATATATATATATATGAAACTGTTGTGTATTCCAAAAATCTTGCCTAATATGATGTAAACTTTAAGTCCCTTTCAATGAATTAAATTGTTTAAAATATTGTCTACTCTGGAATGTTGTATAATCCGACTAATTATCTTTGGAACCGTATCCATCCATTACATGTACTTCTGTTTAATTAAAAATCCACACAGTTCTCTATATATATACACATCAGTAACTTATTTATTGATCACTCAGCATATAAATACAGACCTTTATCAATAATTCAAACCCATAAATCAGCTCTTTTTAATTGACTATTCAACTTGACCTCATTTTTTCTCATTATTATTCAACATTAATATATGAACACAAAATTATCATGATTTTGATCTAAAGTGTTCATACAGTGAAAAACAAAGAGTATGAAATCATAAAGAACTTTACTTTTCTTATCAAATTAAAATCAAAGTCCAAA